ACTGCAAGCGGTTTCGTCGTTTGAATTCAAACCACTCGAGGGATCGTACGGAGCGAGCGATCTTGACCCTCGTACGGAGCGATTGATTGCTCGGATCTTGACCTTCGTAAGGAGCGATTGATTCGTTCAAACGAAAACTGCAAGCCACTGCAAGCAAACCAAACGACCATGCCGTCCTGGGTAAGCAGAGACCAACTGTCGATTGATCAGCAACAACACGAAGACCCACACGGAACGATCCATCGCGATCGCTCGATCCATCGCGATCGCTCGTGTTGTTGTTGTTTGAGTTAACGAAAAAGTGAGGAGTTTCGAAGATTAAGGCAAGCATGACTCAGCCAATTCGAATCGATAATAAAGACCTCGAAGCAGATCTAAGCATGACACAAAGCCGAGCCTATATATGCTTTCGGAGCTCATTTTTCGAATTCTGTTAACTTGTCGATCGCGACCTCTGCTGTTAACCCTGCCGATCGATTGATCCATGCTGAGCATGGCCAAGGCTTTGCCGTTGATAGAGATAACAGTAGTAGCAGTAGAAGCAATAGTAGTAGGAGCAGTAACAGTAACATTAGTAACAGTAGTGGCTCCTGCAGCATCGAGATAATAGGATCCCATCGAGATTACGATCGTCAATTAGGATTAAGAAATGGACTCCCATAGGAGTCATGGTATAAGATATGGTCCTCATCGCGATTCGATCGACGACAGGAGTAAGAACAATGGGATTGCTTTCGAGCGAATCCAAGGAAAGTGAGTTGCAATAAAGAGAAGGACTACCGATGAAGAATGCAAGAGGAAATCATGGAGCAATCTGCATCAAGGAGTAGCACATTCCAATTGACAACCATAGGGGATAGACATTTAAGAAATAGAATGAGTAACATTCATAACTCGCATGCTACATGGACAATACCATTGGATTATTAATCTAATATCTAAGAATTAAAGTTTGTATTTCAATAAGTGAGCAGTTATTGATTATTTGTTTCTAGAATAAGCCTGCTAATTGTAAAGCTGTAAAGCTGAATTGTAAGCTGTATCCCGTCGCATTCCAGAGGAATTGGCCAGTCAAGCTTGGAACAGGTTCTGTGGAGTACCTGGGGAAGTGCACAATGCTGTTCTGGGGCACATTTCTGCAGCTGTTCTGGGAGCCATCCTTCAGGATGCCAAGACCAAGCTTGACAATACCGAGCTCTTCAAACTGATCCACGCCTGGTCCTCCTTTGAGCCAACCACTCCTGATGAATCCAATCCAGACCGCCAAAACTCAGCCACTGTCTTGGTTCAAAACTATGTGGATCTTGAATTTATTGATCCCGATGACTTGTCAACTTTTGTGGAGACATCCAGTTTGGTGACAACAGGCCAACTGTTGGATGCCTACAAAAAACAAGCAATGAAAGCCAAGCATGACCACAAGATTGCTATACACAAGCCTCTTTTTCATATTGCTGAGTGGAAATTTGCCCAATCTAAGGCTTTCACTTCGTCTTGCAACGGTTGGAGGAGTGACATCCTCGGTGGAGCTGCTTTTGCATTGGGTGAAAAGTATCGTTGGACTGTCACTACAAACTCCAACAATACTGGCAACTCTCATGTCTGGCTTGGTGTCGCCAAGTCTACTTACTCTTTGGATCCACTAGATTTTTGCGGTTTTCAAAAGGATTGTTGGGGAGTCTATGGAGACAATGGATATGAATATTCGAGTAATGGTTCAGGCTATAGACTTCTGGGAGAAGGTGCAAAGTTTGGAGCTGGATCGTGTGTCACCATGACTCTTGATTTGTCAGCATGCAATGCCAGCAATGGGACTCTATCAGTCTCTGTCAATGACCAGGATTCTGTTGAGGTAGTTTCCAACCTGCGAGCTCACCTGCTCGGGAGCAAGGCTGGTTTTGTACCAGCTGTGTCATGCTTTTCAGCAACTGCTACAATTGTGGAAGTTCAAAAGCTTTAGTTGTTGTGACCAAACCAGATTGAATCATTCCAAAGCTGTGGATGAGTAGTATACGAGGCAATCTCATTCCGGTGTTCTACTCATTAGAGTATTTAACGATGAACTTCCAGGTACTTGCGTCCATTTTGCACGATGAAGAAATTGCCGGGTGCGGACGGCTGCTCGATACACGTACGGTAACATCTTTTCCGCTAGGGTTAAATAGTTACTGCATCATTCTTTCAAGAGCACACGAGCAGGCAGGTTCTTGCAGGAAGACCTCTTCGTCGAATCTAGTGGCTGCTTGTATGGTGCGGTGTGGTATCGTACCGTCATTCCATTGCGCGTCTCGAACTTTATCTAGCTAGCTTAGCTTCTGGTGAGATTGACCACGGCTGTGTAGACCAGGGGCCTCGTGCTTTTCTATGTTTGATCGAGCTTTGCTTTTCGCAAGGAAGCATCATTTGAGGAGCGAGCGGAGGGACGAGTCGGAGTGACTGAGACTCGGTCGTCTGAACTTTTGGATCCGGACCGGCACCTTGGAATCGGTGCAGAACGAGGAACCTGCTTCCACGGCGAGCCCGTAGCTTTTTCGCGCTGCCCAAGTACGGCCGTTGGTGTTGTCTTTCGGAATGCTCCGTACGGTTGCAGCAACTCCAGCCAGAGAGAAGACGGGGCTCCAGACAACATTTCTACTTTCTTCGAAGCAAACCATATAACAAAGCAAGGCCCAGATTCAGCTGCTCGATAAGCATCGAGCATCGACACTCCAGCAACAAGCCAGCAGCCACGCAACCATGGCCACGATGATGACACTCGCTATGAGTGTGGAGGTGTCACTCTCACAAGCTTTTGCCCGATTGGCAGATGAAGAATTCCATGATGTGTCTCTCAAAGGCACTGATGGAGTATTGGTTCCAGCCAATCGCATGGCCTTGTCTGCCCGCAGTGATTACTTCAAGACAATGTTCAAAATGGGTAGATTCAAGGAAGCCAACAATGAAGTTGTATCCATCGGATTCTCCAGTGACGTGCTCAAGGCAATTGTGCAGTACAACCACACAGACACTGGCATTCTCTTGGCCAAATATTCTGAAGATGCTACAGGAGCCTTCTCCGCGATTGCTGCCAATCATATGGTGGAATTCCAGACCTTGATTTCCTTGACAGAAGCAGCAATGTATGTTGGATTGCCAGGCCTCTGCCAAAAGGCTCAAGATTGTCTGGCAGTCTTTGTGAAGAACAAACCTTCTTTGTCAATCTCTATTCTGGCTGCATACAAACAGGTTGGACCTGTTATCCGGGACGACTTGGCGAGTCAAGCTTGGAACAGGTTCTGTGTATCAGCTGGAGAATTAGATGGAACTGTTCTAGGGCATATATCTGCCTCTGCTCTAGGAGCCATCATTCATGATTCCAAGGCAAAGGTTTTATGCAGGGTTGACAACACGAAGCTCTTCAAACTGATCCACTCATGGGTACAGAGTGAGCCTTCAGTTCCTGGTGAATCCAAAGAAAGCCACCTACAATCCGCCAAGGATTTGGTTCAAAGCTATGTGAAGCTGGAATTCATCAAACCAGACGTGTTGTCTACACTTGTGGAACCATCAGGTTTGGTGACAGCCGGCCAAGTGAGTGAGGCAATTGAAAAGAATGCACAAAAAGCCAAGCATAAACTTACTGTGAGGTTTCGCCAGCCTCTTGTTGTTGATTTGGTGGCGTGGAAGGATGCCTCATCCAAAACTCTGACTTCTTCTCGCAATAGTTGGAAGAGTGATGTTCTCACTGTACCGGCTATCCAAATTGGTTCCAAGTATCACTGGAGAGTCACCACAAGTTCTGTCAATGAAACAACTGGCAACTCTCATGTCTGGCTTGGCGTGACAAAGTCTACTCACTCTCTGGATCCTCTAGACTTTTGCGGTTTTCAAAAGGATTGTTGGGGTGTCTATGGAGACCATGGATGTGAATATTCGAGGAATGGTTCCGGCTATAGACTTTTGGGGGAAGGTGCCAAGTTTGGAGCTGGATCATGTGTCACCATGACGCTTGATTTGTCAGCCCGAAATGCCGGCAATGGGACTCTGTCCATCTCTGTGGATGATCAAGAACCTGTCATTGCAATTTCCAATATGCGAGCTCACATGTTTTTGATCACGGCTGGGTTCGTGCCAGCTGTGTCCTGTCTTCGAGCAAGTGCCACCATTGTGGATGCTTATGCTTGGAAGCTGTAGCTAGTTGCCGGGATATCTTCCCTAATACCCCATCCATTTAGTTGCCAGGATGTGGGCCATAAGGTACGCGCACGCAACTGCCACAGTTGGTGTGATTCGGCAAGCTGTGTGTGGGTCTTGGAGATATTGCTGCTGGCTCCTCCAGTCTTTAAATGCTGTTCAAAGTAGGTGTGCTACTAGCTATACAAGTTTGTACACGATGGCCCTGTCGTAGCCAACGTGCATCTGTTCATTGCTGATGTTGCACGTCCTTCTGCCACCATCGCCAGGTACCGTATACTTCTAGCTATATATCTAGCTCGAGGTTGACTTGCACCCACTAGTAGCTGGCTTCCTGGTAGCTGAGTAGCTGACACATGTAGACTGTGCAATCGTCTCCCATGGTTCTCAAGAACGGGAGAGTACTATGCGGTGTATATATAGGTGCATGACTACCGTATGCATTGGAGGGCGGTGGCTACAGTGCAGGTGCAGGGGGCTGGAGCCGGACATGCAGCTAAGCGCAAGAGCAGAACAACTGCAGAGAAGCGAAGGGTGGCAAGTGGCAAGGAACGTAAGAAAGCTTTCTGCCCTATTCTACTAGCTAGCTAATAGACCCCCTTGCCTGGCGGGGAAGGAGGCATCTGATAGGGTGGAACTTCGATTCATGGTTCCATGCTTCCGCTCAATAATCCCCAACCCCTGGTAACGAACGAAACAAAATCTAATGCTTTTTAAACTGTTCCGTGGTACCGGTACCGGTACTCAAAGGCTATATTATTGATATTTTCTTAGAATCTCTTCCAGTGAGGATCGATTGGCCTGCACACGGAACACTTTTTTTGAAGGTGCACGATGGTGGTGATGATTGAACTTGCTCCAGCCATGGCGATGTGGTTTCCTGTCTCCATTATAATAGTCAAAGGCGACGTCGCCTGACCACTGATAGATACAGTACAGTGGCTCCATCCATCATGCCGTTCTTTCCGTTTAGCAATAGCAAGACGAGCAGAGATTCTCCCGCTGCCGTGTCTCCCGATGATGTGTCTCGTCGTCCTGCAAGTAGTCCAAGAAGTCGTTTGGGATCGATCGAAGCGATTGATTTGGAAATCACGGTGATTCAAGGACAAGGCTTGACGCCGAAAGACCGTCGCTTCTTTGGACTGGGGCGGCTCTCGTCGTCGGACCCCTATGTCAAAGTCGTGCTGGTCCAGTACCAAGACAACAACAACAGCCCACGGCAGTCTCTACTGGATGCTGCCAAAAGGCCCTCCATGTGGAATAAACAGTGGTCCAGTAAACGAACCATGAATTCTGAAACAAGTCCTTCCTTGTCGTCTGGTGCCGACACCAACAAGTCTACTACCACTGCTACTGCTACTACTACTCAGCATCGCCACAAGATCAAATTGGGCCGCACCCGCACTATTTACAAGACGTTGAATCCGTGTTGGAATGAAACCATTTACGGCTCTATTCGAGGTCAACAAGCGCTACAAAATCACACCGCCGCTCATCCGGCTCAGCTGGAATTCCATATAATGGACGAAGATCAATTGTCGACCAATGATGCCATGGGCATGATTCCCATTGCCATTCCAGTCGCCAAACAGAATATGGACGTGACCAAGTGGTATGATGTTCCTCCCCATTCTGCTGAAAAGGCACAAGGACGACTGCTCATTCGAATTCAAACCACGTTGAAATGGTCTCATGTACTAGTACGGGGAAATAGCTTTGCATTGTCGCATCAACCACAACAAGCAACTTTACAACAGCAATCACCATCGGCCAAAGGAGTACCACAACCCGCGGAGTTTCAACACTTTTCGCCACAGCATCGAGTCATTCAATTGGGATTGTCTTGGGATGTCTTGATACGACCACAGCAACCACCTGCATCACCAACCAAAGACGAACTATCCTCCACGCAATCCCAAGAAAGTGGAGACAGTTTTGTCCGGGGATTCAACGGTGGTCTACCACAAGCACCACAACAAGGCAAACAACAAGGCAAACAACAACAACGAGCCGTCGATTTGGATGTGTCTTGTGTCGCCGTCTCGCACGACGGGCAAGTCATCATGCCGGATACCGTCTACTATGGCAATTTGACCAATTCCAATGGCTCTGTTTGGCACAGTGGAGATGATCGTACGGGAGAAAGTAGCGGGGACGATGAAACCATTACCTTTCTACTCGACCGCGTACCCAATCATGTCATGGCCATGTACGTCATTGTCACGGTCGCCACACCCTCCATGACATTGGCGGATGTTCATTCGACCCGGGTCACCGTACGGGATGTCACACCGGATTCATCTCATACTACTACTAGTAGTCAACACCAACAATCACAATCACAACAACACACGCTCTGTTTCTTTTCCCCGGCCAATCATTCGTCCAGTCGGGATGCCACGGCCATGTTCATGGTACGGATTGCCCGCGATCCATCGGCCGCGCCATCACTACCATTGCAAGCGGGAAAACCAAAACCCGTTTCCAAACGGTGGATTTTGACACCGATTGAAGATACGCACCCGACCGCCCGTGACTTTGGGTCGCTCATTCCCCAAATCAAAGCGTATACCCGTGATTTAGTTGCCGGCGGTGCCATCCGGATTGATCCTACCGAACGAGTCGCTATTTTGCGCAAGGGAGGCAACATTCGCGTCCAAGACTTTTGTACCGACAATGCACTGCCGTCGTCGCGGATTACATTTGGTTTGTCGTGGGATGTAGGGGAAGATGATATCGATTTGGATGCGTCGGCCATTTTGCTCGATACGCACTTGAATCTGATTGATATGGTATGGTGGAAACAGTTGCATTCCAAAGACTACAATATCATTCATCATGGAGACGAACGATTTGGGGTTCGGTGAGTATCGTTGTTTGTTGTATGCAAGGCAGCAGTGAGACTACAAGCTTTGCATTGCTTGGCTAACCACAATCCACTCTCTTTGGTGCGCAGACAAGGAGACGACGAGTTGATTGACTTGTACCTGCGCAATATGACTCTCATGGGAGAACATTGTCACGTGCAGTACATTGGATTCGTCATCAACTCCTACAGCGGTCAAAACTTGAAGGATGTGACACGGGCATCCTGCCACTTGTTTGATCCCGATACCAATGTCGAAATGGCCACGTACGCATTGACCAATGCCAAGGCACTCGACGGTGTCACCTCCTTGTTGGTCGGATGTCTCTATCGGGCACAGCATCATTCGCACACGATTTCACCTACCGCAGTAGCATCACCGGTGCACGAACCTGGACATTCGGCCGCCGGCGACGGGGAATGGTGTTTTGCCATTATTTCCGAACCCAGTGATGGACGGACGGTCAAAGCCAATGTGGACGGGTTCCGCAACTACTTGAAAGACAATCCGCTGCAACCGGCACCAACAGTGATGGCCAACCATGGGGGACCAGAGAGTGTGCTCTATTCGGAAATGCCTCCCTTTGTACCATTAGCAAACGAAGGCTCGTTGTCGCCAGTGGCGGGGTCGTATGGCTAGTTAGACACCAATGACAGCATTGGTTGTTTCCAGTGTGTGAATGATTCAAGCGCAAGATGTCGGACCAAGCAAAGTCCGTTGGAAGCTTTCAAACCCCACGGATGTTGACTTCTGACGCTACTGAGTACTTAGCTACATGTACCTGCCCTTGTATTTTGCTTGCTCTCCGAGATTAGGCGGCTCCGAAGGGCGTGATTGGTGTCGAAATCGGGGGAACGGGTTCGGCTATTATTAGATGTAGCAGAAGCAAGGAGCACACTCTGCGCAGTTCGTGATCAGTGAGCAGTTTACGCGGAGGGATAAAGACGACAGCGCACAAACTTCCTCTGGGATGAATCCTCCAACGGCGGTTCGATCCAACAATAGTGACTTTAGAAGCGTTACCATTCCCAACTCCGAAGGAACTGCGCCTCCCAGGTGCAGGTTGCCAAAAAGGTTCAGCGTCTCGAGCCTCGAAAGTAAACCCAACTCTGACGGGATCTCGTTGGTCAAGGCATTGGTTTGTAGTTCCAAGCTTGTCAGGCCGCGCATCATTGCCAGAGTGGTGGGAATCGACGAGAAGACTCCAGTGTCGTGAATTGAAAGGGTCTTCAATGGGACGTACAAGAGCTGCTGAAGAGGAATTGCACTCTCCAGCTCAATCGATAAGTCACCCATGAAGGAGATACTCACGGCCTCCAACGAAGACAACATTCCCAGTTCCTTGGGTAAGACAGAAACGTTGATGCCCTGTATAGAATGGGCCGACAGCTCTGTAATGCGCCCATCCAGATCACAGTGAATCGTGTGGGTGCTGCCAAGGGCACCGTCGGCCTCGCATTCATTCACAACAGTGTAGTTATCCCAAGCCTCGTATCCAGAATGAAACCATTCTTCTCGAGGAAAAGAGTAGAGAAATGTAGCCAATCCAAACAGCTGAGCTTTCTTCCAATCAGTCATCGAGATCAGCTCTGGGTGGTCCTCGAGCCACCGGTATGCCAGCGACTGCGGGGAGTTGTCGAAATTCAAAGCTGCTATTGTGTACTCGGGCAAACTCAGTACAAACTCGTCTGGTTCACTCGTTGGATATTGCGTCATGCCAAACTCCATATACGGAAGTAACGTCGGGGCCACGGTTGCAAGGAGAGGAGTCGAAGGAAGAGTCTCAATGGAATCTCCATCGTCATGTTCAACATCCACTTCACCGGAGGGCACGTTCACTGGCTGTGACGGTGGTGCACTTGGTACACTGGTTGGCACGATCGAAGGCTGGGTGGTGGGAAGGTCACACGTTCGACAGAGATCTCGATACGAGCACTCCGGTGGACATATGTCACAGTCAGCCTGAAGAAAGCGGAGAGACGGCATTGTGCATATTGTCGGTGGTAGCTGCTCCGCGATTGGATTGTCTTTGATTGAAAGATTTACAAGCGACGTCAAGTTTGCCAGGAACTTGGGTACTGGTTGTCGAAAGGCATTGCTTTCCAAAGATAACGTTTCCAAGTTCGTCAACAGTGCGATTTCTGTCGGTAGTGCACCCTGTAGTTGATTGTGGCTCAAATTTAGGAGAGTCAGATGGCGGAGAGACCCGACATGCGGAGGGATTTCTCCGGTGAGACTGTTGTTGTTGAAGACCAGACTGGTAAGGTTGGACAAGTTCGATAATTCCGATGGCATCACCTGCTCGAGACGCCCGTGTAGTTGCATGTTTTCAATTTCCAACGTCTCTAACGACCTAAGAAGACTGATTTGTGTGGGTGTACGGCCGCCCGGGAAGTCCCCGGGCGCGTACCGGTTACCCTGTTACCACCAGCACAGGTCACGCCGGTCCAACTGCATTCATTGAGATCCAAATTCATCCAGATCCGCTTTCTCTCGGGATCCCAAAATTGACCTCTGTACGCATAAAAGAACGTCGCAAGAGCAAACAACTGACACTGCTGCCATTGCTCCGTCGCCGCCAGGTTTAGATCTCGGAGAATCCATTGCCCTGCCCTGAACTGTGGAGAGAAATCAAGGTCTTCTTCCACGGTGTCCAAACAACTGGCGAGAGCCGAAGATGAAGGCGCTGTACCGGTAGAGGGAGGTGGCCTTTCTGTTGCTCTTGGTGGTGAACTGGCGTCCGAATGATTCCCACGGATACTTGCTGCAAGGACAATCATAATGACAAGGACTGCAGCCAAAAGGGCAAGTAGCAGTAAGTTGATTGCGGATCTCCATGACTTGGTGTGGGATTCCTTTGGCTGCTCTCCATACTGCCGGTATTGTAGAACGAGCCTATCAACTGTTTCGACAGTATGTCTTTCCCACAGCATTTGGAGTATCTTTGCCTTGTCCCGGGGGTCTGAAGCCGTGGCATCGACACAACTCGTGCGCGACTTGGAGAACACATCCGGGCCAATCACCATGGTACCGGTAACATTCTTGCCTGGGTTCTCAATATCGGAATATCCCTCGCCTTTACAGTCCACCTCCTGGTCTTGCCTACCTGTACCAGTCATGGGATTGAACCCACATTCAATAGCAAAGCACAATTCGCAGACGCACCAAATCCGGCTGTAGAGGTCCCTCTGTGAGTTTCGGACAACCACAAACCACTTGGCCTCCCTCAGAGCCCTGACAAACGGGACTTCTTCCAATGGCAGTTCCAGCTGTTCCGCCACGATCTCCCTGGACCCCTGCACCAACGCAAAGGCACAAATCCAAAGGTTGGGTTTGTCGGGGAAATGATGAAATGCAGCCCGGATAGAAGATACAAAATCATGAAAGGGTTCGTCCCAGCAGTGCGTGATGAAGGCGTCAATTCGGTGCCCCTTGGGGTTTGCCGCCAGAGCATAGCAAGTGTTGGTTTCTTGGCATTTTGGACTGATAATGTCCTTATTGATATCTCGCATGGTCTTGGTTCTGTACCGGATCCTTCCATAGAGCTTTCGGGCCTGATCATCGACACGTTCGAGTTCTTGAAACGTAATGGCCCATTTGGCTGGGTGAGTGATATCCAAGTGTTCGATAGTGGGTAGAACCATTTGCAGTTCGCTGAGGTTGTCCTGGCCAATCGATGGCACGTTGATCGATGTGGGCACTTTCAACGAGCTCTCTTGTGTGCTATTTTCGTCTTTCAATGCGAGAGCTTTGGCTAGATCCTTTGGGCTGATGGGGGCGCTGGCAGCTCTCATATGCCGCCTATTGCCATCGGCATGGCTGCGGTGTGTCAATCTTGTCATCAATGGTAGATATCAATGTCGTTTCCACAAGATACCGGTAGCGCAAACTATGGTCGGTGCTATGGACTGAAGTTCCACAAATCGACGTCGCCCCATCGATGTTGCATACTATCCCGAGCCGCTTCCAAAAGTGCACGACTTCGCTTCCAGTCTTCCAGAACGCTTCGCTTCCAAAAGTGGCAAAATTTTAATTTAGTAAAAGCTAGAAAGATGGCCACAAAGAGATAGGACCGGTACCAGACTGGTACTTCTTTGAGACATGGATAGATAAGAACCACAACACCAGGCACCACCGGTATGCTGCCCAGAGCTGTTCAAACCATTAGGACCTCAGCGGTTACTCTGGGCATCCATTCTCACGAGCCCATTCAAGAGTTTCCATCTGGCCCATTTCTGCAGCATTCACCCTTGCAGATCTATCCCATGGACATCCATTTGCGCGAGCCCATTTTAGGATCTTTAAATGCCCTCCTCCAGCAGCCATTGCGCACACCCAGCTATCCCAAGGGCATCCGTTTCCATGAGCCCATTGAAGAACATCAAAATGACCACCGCCAGCAGCATTCGAACATGTGCTGCTATCCCATTCGCATCCATTCTCATGTGCCCATTTGATGATGTTCAAGTGGCCATCTGTGGCTGCTTCTGAACATGTCATCATATCCCAAGGGCATTCATGTTCACGAGCCCACGTGAGGAGTTCCAAATGGCCACCTCTTGCGGCACCGCGGCATGTCCATACATCCCATGGACAGTTGTTCTGATGCAACCACTTTAGTACCTCAAGATGTCCACCAACAGCAGCAGAGTAACAAACCGAATCACCCCAAGAACATCCGTTCTCATGGACCCATATGAGAATTCCCAAATGACCCCATCTTGCTGCAGCAGTGCATGTCGTCAAATCCCATGGGCAATCATTCTCCCTAGCCCACTTGAGGATTTCCAAGTAACCACCGCTAGCAGCTGCAGAGCAAGTGTTTGCAATCCATGGACAGCCATTCTCATGTGCCCATTTGAGAATGCCTAGATGACCACCCTTGGCAGCAGATTGGCATGTCCATGAATCCCATGGGCAACCATTCTCATGAGCCCACTTCAACAGGTCAAAGTGACCATTTACAGCAGCCTTAGAACTTGCATTGCCATCCCAAGGACACCCATTCTCTCTTGCAAACTTGAGAACTTCCAGATGACCATGTTCTGCAGCAGCCAAACATGTGAGCTCATCCCAGGGGCATCCATTCTTGTGGGCCCAATTCAGAATGTGTAGATGACCACCTTCTGCAGCTGCGGAACAAGCAAACGGTGACCACGGGAATTCTTCTCCTCTTGCCCATTGAAGGACACAAAGATTGCCAACCTTGGCGATGGCTCTACAAACATCTATCTGATTTGGTGCATTTCTCGCTGACAATTCATGCCAGTGTTTGGCGGACAGCACATTCTCGAATGCCACACGATAATAAGTGTCTGTGCTGGCTGCGGACCGTTCTGGACCATCCGGGTCTATTCCATCTCTCACCTTGGGAGGATCATGGACAGAATCACAGTATGCCTTGTACAGATGATTCAGTTGTTTGTTAGCACCCCCCGCAAAGGCAAAGTGACCGGATCTCTCCTTTTAGTGTCCCCCCAACCGTTTTCTGGATCGGTCTGGCAGAAATCCAGAGTATTATTATATACAGCCTTGGAATAATTAATTAGGACTATTTAGATGAGTGAATTCGGTAATTAGGAGGTCATTATTGTAGACTCAGGTTTGTATATAGAATCCTTACAATCCACCCAGATCGTAAAATGCATAACCAAACTGGTCGACATGTACCGGTAAGAACACACAGTGATTGTCGAGTGAAGATCACTATAAGGTTTTCGTACTAAACCAAACCAGGATCTGGCAAAACAGGCCAATCGCTAAATTCGAAATGGTCCACTATATAAATTAAGTAAGATCGCCAAGGCCTTACTAGTCGCCATAAGTGACTCGCGAAAGGGCATCCATGAGCGAACGCCATAAGTCACACTCATGGTCTCTTCTCCAGATGAATTCGAAAAGGCAACCTTGAAGTTGCTTCTTGTTTCTATTACGTTCCGGGACACCCCTCTTTATTCCACCCCACGTTCCTTCGATCGTGTTTGTGTGCACTCCAGTGACCGGATCCTTATATCCTTGCTCATGGTTCACCTTCTGGTGTTCGTAAGCAGGCAACGTGTACCCATAACCAGCATCAATTTGGACATCTTCAATTCGGTTGTACGCACCCCAGCAGTCACTTCTAATTATAGAACCAGGGGCAATAAACTTTTTAATTAAGGGGATCAATGTTCCAGCATCCCTCTTGTCAACCACAACAGCGAATACTCGTCGTTCCGGAGTGTTCTCAACACCACCAAAAACCCAGGCACCTTCTACTCTGTGACCGCGATGGTACTTCCGCTTTCCGAACTTGGATTCGTCTATTTCAACTACAACATCAACTCCCCCTATTTGACCATTACAATGAGTCACAATAGACGAAATAAATTCGCGAATGTATTTAAGCCAATGCGTGGTTTTGTCCTTTGACCAGGACAAATAGATAGAGATCTGTTGATGCGAAGAACCAGTCAGCCAGTAGTATAGAAATTTAAGTATCTCCCTCCGGCCTCCTCGAACAGCTTCAAAGAAAGTGCCCTTATATACTGACTGGCACCATTCTTTACCATGTGCCCGGCGACACTCTCTTCGTCGACACCGAAGAACTGGCCCACTCTTTTTGAACTGTACATCGCCGAGTATCTTACCACAAAGTCCGCACTGTGTAGGCAGATTACTTAAAGCCCCCTGTTTTTTTAAATAAAGAAAGCACTCTTTTTCGTCACTGAAAGCTTTCTCTAAATCTTTTAAGGGTGGGATTCCGCTTTGGCGATTCAAATTCCGGTATCGGTCACTAGCGATTTGTGCTTGGAGGCTCCCATTGGCGACACTTTCATTTGGCGGGAATACAGTAGGTTGGCGAGTGGGGGGAGGCTCATCAACACTCTCCACATCAGAAACAATGGATGCCATGTTTGGCGATTTGTGAGCTTATCAACCCGTCATCAATTTTGCGGCGATTGTTTCCCAGGTCTGAAAGTTTGAAATTCGAAATTCCCACGGCCACGAACAATAAACAACAAACAGGGGTGCGGAATAGAGTAGTAATAAACACAATAGATGACGTTTCTAAAGGAAAGAACACCGGACTACACTTTAAATTTTAAATTTTAAATTTGCCTCCATTGTTGCGTAGAGCATCACATTCATCGGACGTGCTCACTTTTTCTGACAGGATGCCAACTAGAGAAGAAATTTTAGTAGAGACTGTGGAGTCTGAGGACTCTGATGATGGGGCTGCAGTTGCTGCCATGGCAGATGAGCCTCCAAACAACCTTAATGAATCGGCGTTTCTTCCCAACATGGAACCCGATCATGCTGAAGGTAGAGGCCTGACCGGAGACTCACGTGAGTTTGAACTGCATACATTCCCTGAAAGCAGCGAAAGCGAGTCGGATGATGATGATCACCAAAGCGACAAAGATGTCGCAGAAGTTGTGTTAAGTGACCCTGAAACGGAGCCTAGTGACGACCCGGTAGAAAAGGTGCGTGCCCGTAAAAGGGAAAAGCGACTTAAAGACAGTAAGCGTAAGAGGGACAATTATGAGAACTGGTTGAAAGATGGAGGTGCGAGTCAGGCTTCCTCTAAGTCTGATGATTCTAGTGACCGTAAGCAGCCAGCCAAAGATTACTGGTCCCATGACACTGCCGCTTCTAACACAACTGCCCCAAAGCAGAAACCTCAATATAAAGATAGTTCTCAAAAGCCTTCCGCTACTAAGAAAGCAGCCCCTAAACCCGCTTTGATGCTTAAGTCTACAGTGGAAACTATTGGCTTGGAAATTAAGAACAACGGAACCCTTGTTAAGAACCATATTTCTCGTAAGTTCAAAGAGTTTACGAAAGCGACCAAGAATCAGCATGCCGAACTCCTGGGAGTTCTCAAGGCGCATGGAGAGAATCACCACACACTTATGGAGGGGATTCGGAATGTTAAAACTCAGCTTGACCAGGTTCTTGCAATCGTTGAGAAGTGTCCTCACAAGGCCAAGACGGTTCCGGAGAAGCCTCCTCCTGGTCCGCCCCCTAATCAAGGAAGGGGAAGTGGTGGTCCAGAGAACTTCCGTAGACGTCAACCAGATCCAGATCAGCATCAAGCTTCGGTAAACAGGAATGGCAGTATCGGTAATCGGAACCATCAGGGGAACTTTACAGCTTCCCCGAATGTGACGGTGAACCACCACATATATAATAATCCGCATGTGGATATCTCTACCCCTGTTGTTGGGCCTGGTTACGGTGTTCCACCGAACTCTACTGGGACCAAAAAGCGGCGACTTTCTGCCATGTCGATGGCTCTTATTGCAGAGAAAGAGAAGCAAGCTCATCTTAGGCGTCACCACCTTGAACTAGAAAGGCGACATGCTTTAAATGAAAGGAGGCCCCCTTCGGTGGTTAAGCCTCCCCCATCTGACCCTTATTTCGGTTCCAATCTCCGATTCGATTAATGGCCTGTTGTGGCCAGTACCGGTATACATCGCTTTTTCTGGATGGTTATTTTTACTGAAATTGCAGTGTGAATGCAATACACGGCTCTTAGCCTTATTCGCGACTCGATCCTAGATAGGGTTTGAGTTCGACTCATGACTGAGTCTTTCGTGAATAGTCATTGAGAAGGGTTCTTCATGACCGCTAGTCATACTAGGTCGATGTGAAACATCGCGCTAGATATTTAGCTGGCGTGGAGAGATTCCACGCTACTAGATAAAGGCTAGACGAATCTTTCCACGCGTTCCGTTTTTGGATCGTGGAGTGAGTAGGATTGCTACCGCAACCTACTCTATCACACTTTACACGTCTCCCGCGGGAGTTCAGATCTACGATCCTTTGATTGTGGTCCTCTCTCGTTGATTAGTTTTCAATGCTTTCTAATCCTCTCATAACTTTCATTCTCTCAAACTCAAAACACTCAAAGATCTTTACACTAGCTTTTAGCGTAGTGCATTTTGTTAACAAACACAATAGCTTTCAGCTACCCTCAACCTATTCCTCACCATGAAGATTGCCAAAGACGCATACACCAGCTTCGAGTCCAAGCTGCGTGACAAACCAATCCTTCCTCTCATCGACCTCGATGTGAATGCGAAATCGACGATCTCGCTCTACCACCTACAAACTTCGCACTTTCAAGCAGATGCTAACAGCGCCAAGTACACCTTCAAGGTCCAATCATCAATGGATCTGAGACTCCACGTCAGCCAATCAAGTGGGCTGGACGTATGGAGAAGGTCTTCGTCGGGCTCGCCATTGCTACGCCTGACGACAAACACAAACCTCCTCAGGAGATGACTTCTAGCTCTGCCAAAGAGCAGCTACGAATCTAGTGTGCAGGCCACGTGAAAAACGTTGGAATGCATTGCGCCAGATTGCAGTCAACGGATTGCCCCACGCGACGTACGTGGCGGTGAAGACGAAGCCACTTTCCAAGACCGTTTCCAGGCTGCCTGGAACGGAGCAGCTCAAGCCTGCTTTGGGACGACGTCTGACATTACGTTTGCATAAATGCCTGTATCGAAGCGGTCTGTCCCTACAAGGCTCTTGAAAACAGAAAACGCTTCATGGCCGCAAGATGCGTAAGCCTGCCGATATGTCTACTCGGGCTATGTCAACAACCTCAGTCGGATGAACACGATGAACTTCCTCGTCTACCACCTTTTTGGACCCAACCAAACGTTGAACATGACGAAGTACATGACATTGTTTGTCATGGAATTCCACGCTCGTGGATGAAGAAGATGGACGAACACGACTTCGTCTCTTTTCTCAGCTCCTATCGGAGAACCATTGATTCTGCGAACGCATGGAATCCTCCGAAGACTTTGACAAGGCGGTGATGCCAAGCAACTCCTACGAAGAAGAACAACAGCAAAGAAGTACAAGTCTACTCGCAACAACGACCACTCTTCCAAGAACGAAGAGAAATGGTGCGACTACACGAGTCCAGCACTCACAACACTGCTGACTGCATGACTTTGAAGAAGCTCAAGGCCAAGTCTCAGTCCTCGTCTGACAACGATAACAGCCAACGTACAACAAGAATAAGACTTGGAAACGCAAGTCTGACGCGCCAAGCCTACACCAAGAGGAACTCTCTGTCCTCATGAAAAAGGTTTCCAACGCTGCGGTCAAGGCTGATCGCAAGAAAGAAAAGCGAATGCAACCATGTTGCCAAGCGCAAGTCTGACAACTCCGACAACGAGGACGACTCCTCTGTTGGATCCATCAACATGATGGACAAGAAGATGCCGCTGTCGACAAGGCGCTTGCCGAATTCGACTTCAATCATTCGGATGGAGAGATCTCCGTCTGAGGATTAGGCCAGGATGATGATTTCAACGGAACCATGTTCCGATTTCTCATACCTAAGTGATGAAGATATCTCACTAAATAGTAAACAAGATTTGTTTTGCAACTAACGAAGTCTACGGCAAATTAGATAATTGCCTAGTAACTGCTCAACTAGACACTGACGATCTGTTCAGCATCGTTAACTCGTCCATGGCCAATCAACCTCAACGTCGCACGACAAGAGACTGAAACATCGTCTATGTTAGATTTAACAGACGAGCGAAAGGGAAACGAAAACCGTTACACTCTGTTGCTTACTAGATACAGAAGCATCCGGAACTTTAATTGCTCAAACTCATGCCAAGAGTTTACTCATGAAGAATCATGGGGGCGTCCAAACATTACGGACTGCTTCTATGAAGGAATTGAGACCCCGCACGAAGTGTAAGGGCACACTCGCGATTCCTGAGTTCCACGATGATAGAATTATCAAGTGGAATTTACACGTCACCAAGAACTTGGGGGCGCAAGACGTGATCTAGGTCAAGACACTCTCTGCGATCTAAGAATCAAGTTTGATTTCACTACCATGTCATTGGGTGGAACCATGCATTTTCCCGGCGAAAAGAGCAACACCAATAGAAAGGAGAACTTCTCCATTTCCGATTCTGCAGCTGTCAGCGACAATGCAATAGTCTCAAGAAGATTCTTGATACGACATACGAACAATAGGCTTAAGGCAGATATGCCAGAGTCGAAATCCGTTAAACAAGGAGGAGCAAGAACTGCCTCCTGCCTTTTCAACCAAGTGCTTCGACCCAGTCGAGGATACTTTGGGAGAGTTGCGAAGGACGACTACGAAGTAGAACTTCGTCCCGACGTTAAATCCTATTACACTAGGGCTCACCCTACTCCACGGTCCATACCAACACTCTTAGAAGGAGGTTGAACGTCTCTGCGAAACAGGGGCACTCAAGAAGGTGAATCGTTCCAAGTGGGGCACCAACTTTTATCATTCCCAAGAAAGAGGGATCTGCACGATTTATCTCGGATTTTCGGGAACCGAACAAACGGATCAAGCGGAAGCCTTATCCTATCCCAAAAATACAGGACATGCTCTTGAACCTAGATGGATTCAAGTGCGCTACCAGTCTAGACCTGAACACGGACACTACCACATCGAGCTGTCACCTCACTCGAAGCAACACTATACCATTGCACTCCCGAAGGGAAAGCACGAGTACCAGAGGTTGCCAATGGGCCTATGTAATAGTCCCGACATCTTCCAAAGGAAGATGAAAGCACGCATGCATGACTTAGGAAATGTCCGTGCATACGTTGATGATCAACTCATCCTAACGGACGTCGATCTCGCAGATCGCGTTGAACAGTAGGATGACCTTTTCCAAAAGACTTCACGAAGTCGGGATTGAAATCAACACTACAAGGCCTTCCTCGATAGGAAGAACTGAGTATCTAGACAATTGGACTCTCGAGAAGGAAGCCAACCCTTAACCAAAAAAGACAATAGATGCGATCCAGCTATCGCTCTTCCCACCAACAGGAAGGAACTTCGTAGATTCATTGGACCAATGAACTACCAAGGGCTGCTCCAAGACAGCAGACGGAGTAACCATCGTTCTGAAACAGACGTGGGTTACCAGTATCCATGACCGGTCATCATGGACAGAGAACGTGAGTCCCGCGTAGAGGTCGAGAAGACTCTCCGGGATGAACATGGACTTCGTCGCAAGTTCACGCGCGTCAATCGTGACCAAGACTCACCACATCCGTTTCAAAGCAAACCGGAAATACATTAAGGAACGTCGCCAACGACTTATCCAGAAAAACACCGATAAGGAGAGGCACGCACGTGTCCCTCATCAACACCATGTCAACGACACTATGATGATTCATCAGTATCAGAACCGTTATACGGTCAGCCAACGCACAAGGTCCTTACCACACAGACCGAGTCAATAACAATGGCACTGCACGGCTCCGACATACTACCGCCAATAGCGGCACAGTCTACCAGACTTGGAACATAAGTATTTACAACCCATACAAGGCCTGATCCCCTTGTAGGATTGCCATCGTGCGACGCACATGTCTACATCCAATCTCCGGAGAGGCCCCGCACTTTAATTCATATGTTCTCCTTGTCCGACTGATGTCGTGCCTTCCGTGACCCTTGTCAGGGGCGAATGCAATACACGGCTCTTAGCCTTATTCGCGACTCGATCCTAGATAGGGTTTGAGTTCGACTCATGACTGAGTCTTTCGTGAATAGTCATTGAGACAGGGTTCTCATGACCGCTAGTCATACTAGGTCGATGATGAAACATCGCGCTAGATATTTAGCTGGCGTGGAGAGATTCCACGCTACTAGATAAAGGCTAGACGAATCTTCACGCGTTCCGTTTTTGGATCGTGGAGTGAGTAGGATTGCTACCGCAACCTACTCTATCACACTTTACAGTCTCCCGCGGGAGTTCAGATCTACGATCCTTTGATTGTGGATCTCTCTCGTTGATTAGTTTCATAGCTTTCTAATCCTCTCATAACTTTCATTCTCTCAAACTCAAAACACTCGAAAGATCTTTACACTAGCTTTTAGCGTAGTACATGAAATTTGTTTGACAGCATTTTTCGAAACCTTATAGTTAATCAGTACGTTTAATTTGACCAAATTAACACCATGCAGCATCTTTAAAAGCCTCGTTTTAGCCTAGACCTCTCTAGTTAAATCCAAATGGACAACTTTCCGGTCTAAGTGGGATCCTGAGTGGACAATTTTGATCCATTGAGATCTCGATGACCAGGTTCCCACAAGAGATCCTTCCCTCGCTAAGTATTTCAGCGATCGACAGAAAAAAAGTTGTCGAGTCTCTAAGTAATTGATATTTCACCGGATTGGTCCAACTCCTTACTTAATACGTTGGCTATGAATATTAATACTTCCGATTTCTGGAAGACCGATCCAGAAAAGGGTGGGGGGACACTATCAGGAGCTACCCAAGTGACCCAGGCCCACAAAGGGAAGAATCATTCCAATCCAAACATCCTTTCTATCCAACAAGATATCACTAGCCGAAGGATCCAGTTTCTGCCATTTCCTTTTGGGTTCTACGGTAGAATCAGACATGGTCCAAAGATTCTGTGATGGTAGCTCTGCGCTGCAGGTGGAATGGTGCCTCCCATGTACTACATGTAGTAGCCTTTATGGAGCCTTTTCGGAACGGTGCCTGGCAACTCAACTAGCTACAGTCGTAGCCTTCTCACTGAATTTTCAAGCCTTCTGACGTTGCTGCGACGGTGACAACATGCGCACATACGATACAGTAACAAAAAGTGACTGATGAACCCAAAGAAGTCTACCAGGCAGGTACAGTATAATAGATCTGTGAAAGAGAATTCTATTTATTAATTAAAGAGGCTACTCAGGATGTGTACATCATAACACTGTAAACCGAGGTACCTGGAAGACACGGTAATTGATTATTTTTGCTGAAACTGGATTCAGCAAATTCAGCATTTGTCAGCATCAATTCAGCAATTTCAGCATCATTCAGCATCAGTCAGCATCTGTCAGCATTTTTCAGCAATGGATTCAGCAAGTTCAGCAAGATTCAGCAGAATTCAGCAATTACTACTAAATAACCATGGTTGGATTCAGCATCTGTCAGCATTTTTCAGCAATGGATTCAGCAAGTTCAGCAAAATTCAGCATCAGTCAGCATATTTCAGCATCAGTCAGCAAACATCATCAAAAATTCAGCAAAATTCAGCATTCAAGACTGAAAAATGCTGAAATTGCAGAATGACCTTGTCTTCCTGGTACCAGTACTGTATCATGATTTGATGCCGGGACGGAGACACAGCTCTCATGCACAAACGCAGGCAAGCTTTTTGAAAGGGTCACACTCGCGGTCGTGCCACATGGTCATTTCTCCCATGTGCTCAGTACCTGGTACAAGTGTACCGTACCAGTTCGAACCATTGTTCGACGGAACGCACGGTGACATCACAGGAAAGAAGATTGCAGAATGACTACTCAGGCACGAACGGGAGTGAAACAGTTTCACTCCCGTTAGTTTTACTGAAAAGGTACTGGAAGCGAACCGACAATGCAATCCAATTGCCAGGCAACCACTACGATGACGATGATGGCTGTGTTCAGGGCGACGATATTGGCGTTGTTTCTGCTGCAGTGTAGCACGAAGGCGTTTGCTCCAGGCCAAGTTAAAATAGTAGCACAGCGCGTGAACGCACAACCTCCAGTTTCATGGGGATTCGAGAATCACGCCGCCATCCAACCGAATGCCCTCTTTGCTGCCGACGAGGATAGCAACGAAAACGAAGCTGAAATTTCCGACAACTTTGATGCGGAAGGCTTTGGAGGGTATTTGGCTCCCTACGCACTGGCAGCTCTGGCTTCGGTCGTTGCTACAGGTGCTTTTGTCAAATTTGTTCTGTTGGATTATTGATTGATTGATTCCTTCGTTCAAATTCGGGAAAATTCCATCCATTTTCTAGCTAGCTATGCAATCGATCCGATAAACTACTGTAAGGACAATCTACCTACTTCACAACGGACTACAGTCAGTCGTTTTGGGTGCTTTCTGGAGCTTTCTTAGATATTTTGCAGCAAAGTCCACCGAATTGCTCAGAAGAAACCGAAAATAAGCAACGTGTGGCTTCGTTTCGTTGATGCGTAGAATCTATAGCTATCGTGTGCTTTTGGATCCACCAAGAGCCATTCCCTTCATGCATACACTTCGATGCCGCGAGGGGTGGGAACTGTTAGCGAGGGAGGCCTCCGTCCCAGCTGGAGCTCGTGGTTGCTTAGGCTGCTATCTAATTGGAGGGAAAGGGCAGATGACATTGAAGACTTGGAAACTTACATCATCATCATCATCTCCAAAATCTATCTGTAACTGTAACTCCTGTCTGTATCACAAGTTACCGGTGCATAGGCAACAATGGCATGGACATGGACGTCTGTCCACGGGACAAGATGCAATCTTGGAAGACAACCCGAATCAAAACGGGACAGGAGTCGTTCCGATTGCATTCGTGATGGAGCGAGGCAACCCACTCGGAGCTCACAACTCATCACAAAACACAAAAAGCAAACAACACAAAAGCAACGCAACAACTACTCGAAAAGCAAAGAACAAAACACAATGGGCGTCCTTACCGTTTTCCTTGACAAAGCCACCAACCTTGCCGATACTGACTTCATTGGAAAGACTGATCCCTATGTAATCTTTGATCTGAAGCAAGACAATTGGTTGCAAAACCGAGACTACGGATACCAAAGGTCATCTACCAAATCCAATGACTTGCACCCTGTCTATGGGGAAACATTTATCTGGAAAAATATCGAAGACATTGAAAATTTGGTACTCAAGGTTAGGATAATGGATGCAGACTTTGGCTCCCGCGACGACAAGGTGGGCAACTGCACCATCCAACTAGACAAGTTGGGTTTGTCCAGCCGACCCATGAATGTTGATCGTGTGGTTGACCGGAACATTTTCACAGCCAACGGTATGATCCACCTCAGGGTGTCTTACGATGCCTAGTAGCCGGTCGCTGTTTGAACCGATGAAGAACTAGTTGGTCGCTCAATGAATGAACGTAAAGATAGAAGATAAAAATAGTAGTAGAAAGATACCAGAAAAAATATTGGATCTAGCAATAAAAGTTACAAGTTAGAAGGTGGAAAATTCTAAGTCAATGTGAATGAAGAGGTGGTCAGGAAGTTGATCTACCTAGCACGTAGGTGGAGGTTGGTTTAAGGAGGTCCTGGACAAAACAAAGGAAGTGGGTAGTGTTGAGGCCCTCCCATTATATCGCTGTTGAGTCGATTGGCACCAGAGCGCGGAATAATGACTTCCAAGTGACGCTCGTAGATCTCCGCATAGGATCCAACTGCTTGGATGGCGCTTTGAAGCATGTGTTGAAGATCTGCACCAAAGACCTTTACCAATGGCATTTCCAAATAGGATTCTTGAGAAATCCCTGCTTCTTCCGCATAGATGATAGCCGAGACTACTGAACTCACAAAGTCAGACCACTGTGGTTCGTTCCCTGCTGTTGCCGCGACCAGAGGTCTGCGGTCGGACACGTCGTAAAAGTATGCCGGGGAAAAGGCATAGCTGTTTCCAGTCTTTGATTCCATCAATGAAGTTTGAATCGACGCAGGAGTGCCAATCACGACGTCAACGTCGTCGTTAACGATGCAATAGTAATCCGATCCGGTGCCAGTAATGTCTTCAAAGGTGACAGCATCATCTGCTATGTCATTGAAGATTGCCGCGCTGATTGCCCGGCAAATGTCAACATCAAAACCGGACCAGACGCCATTCTGGAATGTGGCAAAACCCTCTCGGGCCCTGACGCCGCACCTCAGATAGCCACGGCTCAGAATCTTGTCCAGCCTTTCATCGGTGACAGGACCAGGACCCAATGCGTCGAGGTTTCCGAATGGCATAGCATACAACAGGCCGGCCGGACTGTTGAGTGCTCCCGTATCAGGCCTGTACAAAAGATTCAGACCGCTGCGAGGTACGCTGACTTCCAAGTGCTCTTCGTACAAGTCGGCGTAGTTTCCAAACTCGGACACAATGGATACTGCCATGGATACCAAATCAAACTCATCTGTTATGCCGGAGTCCGCCGAGTCAAACAGCTCTTGAAAGGCAGTGGCAGCGTTATCCTTGGAGACGTTTTCGGCTTCTGCCAGATAAAAAATGTTCACGACGGCGTTCACCAGAGCGGACCACTGGGGGTCATCCTGACTGGTGATTAGGGCAAGAGGCTCTCGCGAGTACTTTTTGTCTCCAACCATGAATGAGCCGCTGTACCCATGCTTGTGGAGATTGTACTTGCTCATGGATACGGGCTCGGCCGCAAACACGTTGCACACGCCGAGCACAAACTTGCTAATGGCATCTTGTTGAGTCAAGGTCCCAAATATGGGCACGGTCTCTGGCAACAGCTCTCTGACAACCGCTTCCGTAGTGGTTCCAAGCGAGACACAGACCTTGACGTCTTCGCATCCAGGAGGCAACTCTCCAGAGGCAGTGCTCGCTGCTGCAATCTCGTCCATGCAGCGAACCCGTTCCGGTGCCCCGCCAAACGCCAGACCGCTGTAGAAGAAGGGAGTGGAGAAGGAAAAGCCGGCCTCGGCGTTTGGTTCCCACACGTCGCGACCAAGGGTGTGCGTGGCAGTTTGTGCCACGACATCCATAGAGTCGCTTGCGAGAAGGAGAATCGATTGATGAAGGAGACAATGACAGGCTCAATCAGATCGGGAGTTCCAAAGACCGCCAGGGATATGGCGCGACACTAAGAAAGGGAAGAGGTAGGAAAGGGTAAGAATCCAAGAGGGGTTCGAGGGTTTCAGCACTGAGAACTCAGCCATGATGTGCGCACACAAGTAACATACGTGATCAATGTTCATGCCCTCAAGCTCTCCCGTTTCCAGGTTGGGGGCGCTAAAGCCAGGTGCATTCTCATAGACTCCGCACCGGACAAACCCTCGATCTCGGACCTTCTGAAGGGTGGACTTCTTGATGACATCCACGTCGCCAGTGAGGGTGGCGTTTCCGATAGTGGAAGGAGCACTGCTTTCTTGTGCTTGTCCTTGTTCGTGCCCGAGTACCGCAATGGCAGCAACGGCAGCCACGGCGAAGAGCAGACACGTCACCATGGCACCAACAAACACCGGACGATTCTTGAAGGACTGAAGAGTGCCAACGGTTGACACCGAGTCATTGTCAGGTTCCAGGACAGCCGATGCTTCGACTGCCTCTTGGATGATGCGATCTCTAATGCCCTGTTCGAGCTCGGCCATGTCTTCGTCTACTGTGACAGCTGTGACACAGGTATCTTCATTGCTATTGTCCATGCGTGATGATCCCAGTTCAGCATCGAATGAGATGTGGTCAGCCGGTCTATGTCTATCGGAGGAAGCAGTGGATGCCGAGTCGCCTCCAGCGTCTACGCATACTGCAATGGCACCCACGTTTGCTCTAGCTTCAAACTCGGCTGCCGATATCCCGCAGGCTACCTTCTGTTGGTGGTCCTCCATCTCCTGAGCGTCGACAAACGTCGCGGAGGTTCCTGAAGACTCCAGGTCTGCTTCTCCTGATAGCTTTCGTTCCTCAATCAGACTATCGAGAGGCTTCTCTGTTACCGACGTTACTTGAGGCGCTCTGGATACAACGTCAGCAGCCTGGGTAATGATACCTGCTGCTCTTAGCTTCTCCTGGACAACGCTGTCTTCATTATCACTACCGCTACCGCTACGGGTATCCTCAGAGATCCTGCCGTTGCCGCCGCTGAACGCAACTCCAGATTCGACTGAGGATTCCGATTGACGAAACATCCTTAGCTGCTCCAACACATGCATCCTTTCGGCAGCAACAAACTCGCCGTCGCCGGTCGTGAGCCCAGTACTAGTAGAAGACCCCTGAGCTTCTCCGGTCTGATCAGCACTGACCACTTTCGCCTCCACAGTCTCATCATCAGGTCTGCTGCCATGGCTGCCTAATTCTGTTTCTAGCAGATGATTGTTCATTGCTTATTTCTTGAGGAGTGTGCTGTACAATGTGTAAGAATTCACCAAAGTATCGATTGTGAGGGGAGGAGTCTGCAACAGATTAAATTTGTTTGAGTTTTTCCAAATGCGAATTGTGAGAATGCAGCCGAGAATGCGTGTTCGTGGTGCCTTGCATGGTACTCGTAGTGCGTAGACCAGCTAGTGATGCAGGCGCTTCTTTTTTCGATTGTGGTATTGTGGTCTCCTGGCTTCTCCTACCAGTACTACAATGTACGACTGTAGTGCTGGAGAAGGACACAAGTAGGAGGACCCAACTAGCAGAGCAGGAGTAACCAAAGTGCACAGCATCACAGCATCACCCCCATTCGGTCTTGATCTGGAACAATCGATTGATCTATTATAGAAGGGCCTTTTGCACCAACCACTGGCTCAGCTGGTAAAGGAGCTAAGTATAAACGAATTAGAGGTCAATGCCATTGTTTTACGCTATGACTTAGAGGAATCTTTGTGCATGGTAGAAGAGGAGCTGTAATGGAGCAATAATTATTGCTTTACAGTTGCTTTTACCCGCTGATGTAAGTTGGTGCTTCCTACAAGTACCATCCAGAGTCCAGAGTACAATGTCATGTACTGTACTGTACATGGTATTTATGTGGTATTTGATTCTTGGGTTTGGGATTGGTTAGTGACCAAAATAGCTGGAGATTTATTTGGAACTTTTGTCATGTAAATAGCTCTCATTTCAGTGGTGAAACCACTCAGAAAGAGATAAAACTAAAAACTCTTTTGTTTGCTGTGTTTAAAATAAATAATGGAGTCTACAAAAACAGTATTTTTGGCACTATGACTCTAGCTAGACCTGACAGTTCCCCTGTGTTCTCCCTCCATCCTGCCAGTACCAGTTACACATTGATTAACAGACATTGGTACTCATTGGTAGGTGAGGTGTCCTGCTGGCTGAATTAGAAGTCACACTTCAAGAAGAGCTTAATTCATCATCTAGATTTCATTTCGCGAAGTGATGGATGATCGTTGGCAGCAAAGGCACCTTCCCCCTCTGTGGAAAGCTGAAAACTCGACTCGTCACTCGTTTACTCCGTGCGTGTTACGGGGGCTACCACTCATGTACTAGCTAGCTACTAGCTAACGATAGTAGGCATGCGGACTACGTTACCGACTATTAATAGCTATCTGGCTGATTTCTGATCTTCAGGACAGCCAGTTAAATGAAGGACATTATTTCTATCTAGCCGCCAATAGAAGCTCTGAACCGGGGCGGTACTGATGCACGGGGTCTGGGCGGTACAGTCGTACCGTGCGCCACACTGGCCTGCCTTCCATCGATGCAAAACCGCATTATTGAAGGTCCTATACCGACATCACTCTAAGCTCCAAAACGAAGTCGATGCCTCCACAAGTTCATTGGAGACCTCGCTGGCTCATGGCTGCCGTGAAAGAAATGCCGCCCTGTAGGTGGTAGTTGGTAGTCTACTACATGTAGCTAGCTAGCAGTGTACTAGCAGTATGGAAGAGTTGGATGTTGGATGGTCAAAAAGCTCAAAAACTACTTTTGCAAAGCAAACTTGAACTTACTTGCCTGTACTCGTACACAAGTTGCAGAGTTGTTGCCTCATGTGGCATTGGCTCCTCCTCCTGTACCGGTACCGTTCCAGTAGACCCTGCCGCACGTGCCCTTACTAGCTGCCTGAGAGTACAATGTCATCATTCATGAACCTGCTGGTACCGGTACAACCCTTTAAATACGAGCTGTGAACAGGGAAGGAAACCCCACGTGATATTGGGTTCGCTCAGGCAGTCGCAGGAGTAACTTCAATAGCTCTTCAATCTTGGAAGGGCCATCTTTTAAAGCCTGTTGACATTTGAAAAACATCATCTTAGATCTCAGCATCCGAATGATGACGAAGTACAGTGCCGCACGGTACCGGTACCGCATGCATATCAGTCAACATTCAATGCATTCATGAACACAGCCATCAATCAAACCGCACTGGGTTCGGGGTCAACAACACTGACATACTAGTACTCCTCCGAGTTCCGAGTGCATCATGATCTCCTTGCTACTTGCTACATCGTTTTAGCTAGACTACGTACAGCGTACTCTTGTACAAGATACAAGATACAAGATGAGTATTCTAGCTAGACTAGAAGAGAATTAACGAATTAACAAGTCCCATCGGGAGCCAGACAACCTATATCCCTCTTGCACTTCCAAGTCTGGAGATTGCAGATATGTCACATGGAGCAAGTTGGAAGTGAAGATGCAAAGATGCCACGATGCCACAACTTGATGTGGGGCTGAGTGATCGAGTGATCGTTTCATCGTTTCTTTCCTCGTTCCAGGTTCCAGCTGAACTTACTTGAACACTTGAACACACCTGGTGACTGCATCAATCGGCACAGGAGGCTCCTGCGCTCCTGCCGCTCCTGCATGCCATGTTTGCATCTTGCTTGGGCAGTCTTTGCCCTCTTTTCATTGTCCTTTGTCCTTGATGATGAAACCTTGCTCGAGTTATCCTTTTGCTTCACGTTGCATCGCCGATGCGGGTGCCTCGTTGCGGAACGGCCGAACTAGGTGAAACAGGCACTCTTCGACATGGCTTTAAAACCTGACTGGAAACCTACTGTCTCTTGTTTGGCCATCGCATGCCTTGGACTTGACTTTGCACCTACTACGTACTCGAGTAGCTAGTAGTAGGGATGTCCTTGTTGCCGTACACCTCTTTGCTTGCTGCTGCCTGCTGAAAGACTCGGAGGTTTGAGACCAGCCACTCACTGATGAACTGCTACAATAGAAGCACTTGGAGTCTTGATGAGAAGTGCAAAAAATAATACTGCCTGGGCATTGCTGCACTGCTACCCATTCCCATCACTAACTTCGTCCTTGAACTTTCCCTCGATGTCTACTAGTGCGGGAAGACGAGTGACGAAGCTTCATTGGCTTCAGCTCCAGCCAGGGTCCCTGGTATCTGGTAGATACCCGTAAGTCTGGGCAGGATGTTTGTTTGCCCTTAGTATGCCCATCACAGCCAAGAATGATTGGTTGCTTTATTATGCTTTACATCAATTTTTATTGTTGTCAAAGGATACAGTGCCATGCTGCCTCTACAGGCGATATCATACTTCATCATACCATTGAGTTTGTGTAGTCTTGCGTTTGTGTTGAGCTTTGTGTGTTTTTCCATCAACTAGCTAAGCTCCGTAGTAAGGAAGGAGTTCATTGTTTTCCTTGCGCTGTTCACGACGCCAGACAAATCCAGCACTTGCCGCCACCAGGCCCGTGACAACCCATAGAGGGATATGGAACCAGTACAAATGCGAAATGTGTGGGTTTTCTTCAATCTCTCCGCTTTCATATTCTTCGGCGTGTGCTTGATGATAATGCCAGTACCACATGCAAGAGTAAATAGATGCATTCAAAAAGAACAAGAGGGCTGCCAACATGAGCATTCGTTCATTTTTGGATTCCAACGTTTCCTTCAACACAAAGAACGTCACGCCCATGGGCACGGCAATACAGACAAGGAAAAAGTAAACGTAGTCCCACCACACCTGGCCTTCCCAATCCAACCAAACGGCAGCCGCAATAGCAACAATCGTTGGAAGCACAAAACGCCACCAATGCTTTTCGACTCCATCCGACTTGAGTTTGGCATATTCCACAGTAAGCTTGCGAAGAAAGTAGACCAGTGTGGCAATTGCCACGAACGATAAGAGCAAAAAGACGATTGCCGCCAGGGTGAAACGAGTCGAGTAGTCCATGTTGTTTGTTGTTTTGTTTGCTTGCCAGATGAATAAAAAAGAAAGATAACAATGAGGGGAAAAGGTGGATAGGTTTAATCAAATAGGCAAGTCAAAGAGTGTTCGGTGTCTACTAGAGTAGCATGCTAGGATGGAGGGTTCTCGCCTGGACAATCAGTCAGCGATGTAGTTGAAGGTTGCGTCACGGCAAATTACAGTCCGACTCGTCCATGCTTCCGCTGAACCTACAATTATATGAATTCTAACCTGTAATTCAATGGATTTATTCTGTTGTCTCCTTCTTTGTACAAGACTACAACTATAACTCAATAAACTTCCAGCCACCAATGAATCCAAACCATCGCAACGGTTTCTGTCACACGAAAAATCGCTGAAAAGTGAGGGGAAGAGGACCGAGGAAGGGCACCTTCGCTTACTCATTTATTAGATTAGGTAAGGTTAGAGCTAAATTTCAGTCACATTTGCTAAAATCGTACTCGAAGATTTCACCCTCATTCGTGTAGAAGCTCTTGCAGGTTCGTCCCTCATCTTTCCTCGACCAGCAGGGTGGCATCGGATGCTGGAACTCTTGGATAGTCTAGTTGTGATGCAAGCAGCATGAGAACATGGCATCATCAACCTGCAAAGCGTCTACCTTGGTCCTCTCATCCTTTCATAACACTTGATCACAGAAAAACACAACAGAAAACACAACAGAAAAAACATGCAAGTGTTGGAACATCCCAGGCCCTCGTCATTGGCGTCGTCGTCGACTGATTTTGAGATTGTCCCTTCCTTGGCGGCTGTCATCGATCGGTACGATGGGTTCCTGATTGATCAGTGGGGCGTCATGCATAACGGAATTATCGCCTTTGAGAATGCTACCGAATGCATTCGATTGCTGGGACAGGCCAACAAAAAACTGGCCATTGTCTCCAACTCTCCCAGTGATGAAGCCAAGACTTTGAATGCCTTGGTGGACCTCGGTTTTGACGCACAGCACTTTGTAGGTGGAGCCGTCACAAGTGGCGCCTTGGCGGTCCAGTACATCCGAGAAACCTACGGGAAGAACAAGGCCAGGGCACTGGTCTTTGGCTGGGAGCACGAGTCGGCTCCATGCCCGCAAGAGTTTGTGGCTCAGTGTGGAGACCTAGAGATTGTAGACTGGAAGCATCAAATGGATGACGATGTGCCACCTGCCGATGTCATTATCCTGCAAGGAAACCAAGTCCTTTTGGGCCCATCATCTACTAGCACCACGAGCCTTGGAGACTTTGTCCTGACCGGCAACACAGAGAACATCATTGACCCCATCTTAGAGAAATGTGCCAAACACAAGATCCCACTCATGTGCGTAGACCCTGATTTTATCACCGTCGATCCAGATGGCACCAAGCTCTACATGCCAGGGACCATTGCTCGACGATACGAAGAACTAGGTGGTTCGTGCCGCTACTTTGGAAAACCCCACGGGGAATGCTTCCAAGAAGGTGTGAGCCGCCTGCTGTCAATGGGTGTCTCGGATACGTCCAAGGTGGCCATGATTGGAGATTCTCTGCATCACGATGTCACCGGAGCCAACAGCATTGGATTGGATTCCATCTTGGTGTTGGGAGGAGTCCATCGAAAGGAACTGGGAAATGAGTTTGGTGACACCGTTGGTCGACAAGAATTGGAGGCCTTGTTTGATCAAGTGGCCCAAACACCCACCATTGTAGCACCCATTCTCAAAATGTGAGCTTCTGTCGTATCTGAGCAGTCAGGCATCCTTTGTATTGACAACTTTTTGAGGTTACTTGTTTGAAGTTGAAACTCTCTTCCAAGTTTTCTCTTTCACGATAGCAACTAACTACTAGATTCATATTTGGCTTTATAGAAGCGACACATAGGATTTTTAAATACTATCAAAGGCCAAGAACTCAGGATAGCCCCCCACAGCCAAGAACGTTTGGTATCTTCCGACTTTTCAGTCTCAGGAAGTTGACTATGCAGTAAGAGGGAATTATGGGGGGAATGGATCAATATCAGAGGACCAGTGGAATGGGCCAAAGCGCGAGCTGAGCAACAAGGAGAGTAAACCAACCAAAGGAGGAAAGGAATGAACCAGGACCGTCAGAGAATTGAGGGGGAAGGTAACAGGAGACAAAATGGCGATAGAGATCAAGAGCTCCACCATCATCCCAATCATGTATGGCGTGAGCTCAAGGTGTTAACAGGAACACTAGAGCCACAGAGACACATCGGAGCGGCTCTAGCCAGGGTATTGCTCAAACGAGCAGAAACGAAGGAGAAAACTACGGAGTAGTGCTTGGACCACTTCTTAGCCTGAAGCTGGGAGAGCCATTGGAGAACAGCAGTGGCTTCGGCGGCAAAGAGGACATCACCAGACACAACAAAGGGGGTGAGTGTTGGCATTATGCAGTGCGCTGAGCCAGGTACTTTGTCGTCTTAGCCTTCTCACACTGGGAAAGGGCCTTCACAGCAGTGATACGGCAATCGCAACGACAAGAGGGTTCAACATCCACAGAGTGACATCAAAGATGTTAGCCAACAGAGCTGTCATTCATGGTTGTAACGAGCACGATTGAAAATCCACGGACGTAGATTAGTCTACCGGTCCGGGCCAAACAATCAAGAACCCCAAAGACGCAACGAAGCTCACGATGTAAACAAATTTGTCCACACCAACCAAAAGCTCATTTTGAAACGGACAACTATGTTCCCGCGGCGTCCGACATCATCGTCGACTTATCCCCGAAATTGTCTTCGATCGCCTCCGTTACAGGCTTGTTGACACTATCTCAGAACAAAAAACCTCGCCAGTTCGATGCAGCGGAGCTGAACTTGGAACTTCCATGTCTCTTTTAACAATCTGCATCATCGAATTGTCGTGAAGAGATCGTTTGTCATCAGGTTCCAATAAGCTCGTCTCAACTTTTAAATTGTCACCATGATGATGATAAAAAGCTTGGCTTTCCCGGTTGTCGTCGGCGCCATGCTGTTGCAGGTGGCGTCGGGTCATTTTCTGGAAATCGGAAGCCTCAGAAGGGCTCTCCAGTTAGTGTGGGATTCGACGGGAATGGTTAGCGTCACTATTCCACCCCAGCCCACTGTAACTCCTGTTGAGACGCCTGTACCTACTATTTTGCCCACTGCGGGGGAATCACCTGAGCCTAGTGATGTCCCCAGCTTGGCCCCGAGTGTTCCTCCAAGTGCTGGCGGCACGTCACCAGAGCCAAGTAACGCTCCCAGTATTGCTCCAAGTGGGGGCACGTCAGAAGAGCCAAGTAACGCTCCAAGCGCCCCCCCAAGTGGGGGCACGTCAGCAGAGCCAAGTACGAGCATTGCTCCAAGTCTCGCCCCAAGTCTTGCTCCAAGTTTCCCAACTGAAACGAAATTTCCCACCATTGCCCCAAGTATGGCACCGAGCGGCGGAGCAGAAACGCCTGTTCCCACCGGTATCTTGAACACGCCAGTTCCCACAGGTATTTTGGAAACGGCTGTGCCCTCCGCTGCCGGTACGGGTATCGATCTCGGTGATGATCTCGATGAAATCGCAGAAATTCTTTGTAACATCACTGACTACAATCTTACTGATGCCAACATTACTGACTTGCTTGGTGACCTGGACCTCGCCGATTTCAACCTTACCGAAGCCAACATTACTACAGACTTTATCGATGGACTCAACTGTACCGAGTATGAAGATGGTGTTCCAACTGCGGCCTCTGTCACTGAGGCCCCTTCCACTCGCCCCTCGTCTGCTCCAGGAAACCCTACCGGCACTCCAACAAGGAGTCCCACAAGGACACCGACGAGGAACCCCACAAGGAACCCCACTCGAACTCCGACCAGGAACCCTACCGCATTTCCCACGTCGCTTAACTTTCCCACCGAATTTCCCACACCAATTGGAACTTTTACCCCCACTAGAATCTTCGGTCCTACTCAGAATCCCAGTCTTTTCACACTCGGTCCCGCTCCGCTCACTCCGGTTCCATCAGCTGAAACCTTTGCGCCCTCTTCAACAGCTCCTGTGGATACGGCTCAACCTACCCCACCCGTGACGGATCAACCCACCCCAGGAACACCACCTCCGGAGACAGATCCACCAACTCCAACACCGGAAACGGATCCTCCGGAAACTGAAGCCCCCGTTGCTGCACCGGAAACTGAAGCTCCCGTTGCTTCACCTCCTACTGGTGGTTTCCGTGGTCGTGACCGCGAATTGTTGCGCCAAGCCGCGCAAGAATCGAAATGTCAGCTTTGCCCCCACGGTGACGCTCCGGGACACCCTGAAAAACTGATCAAGGGGCCACTGGGACAGGATATGGCATGTTCCGAATTGGCCGTGATCTATCAGTACTACGAAAGCGACGAAGATTGTGCCGAATTGGAACAGGATTTGTGGAACGCCAACAAGGGTGCACCAGCAGATCAGTGCGAATGTCAGGCTGTTGAATGAATGCGAGAAAACGATAAAGGGTATGTGTGGAAATGCATGACAGGTCTCACAAGCATCAAGAACCAGGGATGCTATCTGGGAGCGTTGTTGAGGCTGTAACTGTGTCATGTTCGTTTGATAATTAATTAGTTTTGATAAAGAATAGTAAAAAGAAAAAGAAGACTTGCAGGCCTACTACTCTGGAGATAGGAACCGTCGAGCTCCAGGTTCAAAACACAGCGAACAGCGGCTCGAGAAACCTCATTGATCCTGTTCTACTCTAACGTACTGCTGGGGGGCTGAGGCTGTACAAGTACGGTAAGTTCACCAGGCATCTTTAAGGAGCTGAATGATCGCTACCTGCTACGTGTAGTCATCGTTCGTTCGTTACTACGGTATAATTGATTGCTATTCTTTTTCACTTACATTCTCTTGTCTTTTTGTTCACTCACACTTACACCCTTACTAACTTCGTACATCCGTACCGTCTCCACACATGTATGTATGCTATGCTACCTACCCCATCAAGGTTTGTTTTTCAAATTCACTCAATTGGACACTGGCGACAAACGCCGGCATGGACCCGTACTTGGCAATGTACTCGTACGACGGTTCTCGCGCCAATTGTTTGGCATAATCATTGGCCATGAGATGGAGTGCCGGTACTGGTGCCGTCTTGTTGTGAGTAGTATCGTCTTGTTGTTTGGGCCAGTCAAAAAGCAATTCGTCCGTCTTGTGTGCCGCAAACATGGATCGAATGCGAAAGGTATGTTTTTGCGTATCGGGAATCATATCAATCTTGTAGCCGGTAATGAGATGGACGCCTTCTCGAAAGAGTGCAATTTGATCTCGAAATTGCTGTTTGAGTCGTTGATGGAGTTTGTCGGGGTCAATGTTAGAAGTGGTGGTGCTTGTGCTTGGCACATTGTTACTGTCTTTGTTCAATGCCTGCGCCAATTGCTGTTTGAGTGCGGCATTTTGTTTTTGCAGTGTGGCAGTGCGTGGATTTTGTGTGAGATGCAAGACACGCGTATGGTCGGGATGAAAGGCTCCCTTTCCGGCCAATTCTTCGGCACGAACGGCTCGTTGATCGGCTTGTTGTGCGGCCTGTTTGGCCAACTCTAACGCTTCTCGCAGCTTGCCGTATTTTTCCTTGACACGACCTAGTTCGGAGGCGACGTCTTGCGTTTCTTGGGCACGTTCGTCCAATGCCAGTTGCAATCGATCGCGATCGGTCTGAATGGTGTGACATTCGTCTTGGCGGGCCTGTAATTCCAATTGGGCGGCCTGTAGTTTGGAAGACAATGACGCCATTTCGAGCGGGGCCGTTTTACTATTGGCGTTTTGTTGTTGTGGCAATGAATCAAAACTGGCATTGAGTTCTTGTAGGGATTTGATTTCTCGTTTCCAAATGGCCTCTTGGGCTTGCAATGTTGAAATTTGAGTGTGGAGCAATTGAACTTGGTGTTGCCATTCTTTCTTTTGTTGGACCATGGCCGCTTCCTTGGCATCGTACTGTTCCATGCGAATTTGGGCGGGTCGTTTCCAATTCTGGAATTGTTGGATTCGTTCTTCCATTTGTTTGATAGTGTCACGTGATTGAGTCAATTGCTGTTTCATGGTGGCGACTTGACGGAGCATGGCATGTGGGTTATTGCTATTGTTGCTATCCACTACTTCTTCAGTACTACTATCATTTTCATCATTCAACAATATCGCCTGAAGAGACGTTCCAAATTGTTTCCATTCGTCATGTTCGGCTACTTCTGTGGCATACGACTTTTCGATGGTTTTCAATTGCTGTTCCAATTGCGCGACACGAAGTTGCGCGTGTCGCGAAGTCTCTTGCGCCGGAACCAATTTGGCGGCCGTCTCTTCGAATCGTTGGGCACTGCGTTGCCATTGGCGCGTGGAGCGTTCCGATTCTGCCAATTCAATGCGAATGCGATTGAGTTCACGCAGTAGTTCAGAGGGAGCCGGAGACAGTGTCGATGCGGGTGTGGTGGCTTGCTTGGTGGGTGTGGTGGTGCCGTCGTCATCTTCTGATGGTTGCTGTAGACTACTCTTCCAGTCACTCCTGACAGTCTCCAAATCCGTTTGGAGTTGTTCCACTTGTCGGTCTTTGGCAGACAATTGATCTTCCAGTAAGCGACACTTGCGTTGCCACAGTTCACTACTTCCGTCATTAGTAGTAGTATCATCATACTCTTGCTCCTGTTGCAACCGCCGCAATTCGGCCATGGCATCGTCTCGTGATTCCTTGAGACTGTCCAACGTGGCATCGAATTCCTGGCGTTCTTCTTGTAGTAGAGTCTGGTATTTGGTGGTTTCACTCTGTGCAAAATCCAATAACTTTTGTAAGCGATCTTGTTCGGCTTGAGCCGTCCGATGATCTCGCATTCGCAGCGACCGCTCGTACTCCAAATCCGTCTTGTATTTCGCCGCATCCAAATTCAAATTGTCCAATAGCATCCGCTTCTTCTTCAAAGGACGATGAGAGGAGGAGGACATCTTGTAATGTTGTTTCTATTTTAAAAGTTAGAGAGTTGGTTAGAAGAGAGTGGACAGTAGGATGGAGCAACCACAGAGGGAGGCAGCGCTGTTGTGGTTATTGGTTGATGGTGGTGTTGCCTCGATGTGGTTGGTGCACCCAAAGATCGCATAACAATAATAATACCATTTCAAAACAACCGTTAATTAAATAAAGGAAAGATATCGTAGCTAGTCAGGATTGTCAGGATCCAATGCTCGAGCCTCCACCCACGTTTGCCCTCTTTGCGTGTTGCTCTTCTTTATATACTACAAAAGTTTCATCTTCAAATAGGTGTTGTACAGCAATCCCCCCAAAAACTAAGAATAACCTCTTGCACCGGTTCGACTTGTCGTCCGTGCCAACGCCTGATCCTCTTTTTTTGTTTGCAGATCATCATGCAAAATAATTGTTGGATCACTCTCATCACCCAACAAACAATCCATTTGCACTATCCTGCGTGCCAGGACATCTATGCCATACTACCCGATTGCCTCTAGCTAGGCGCCTCTACCGCATGGTAACCACCGGAAACCAGAATGCATCTTGGCTATCGCTATGCATGATAGCTCCAAAGCAAAGCATGCAGCCATTCGACGGCGGTACCTGGTACTACCGTGGTGCATTGGCACCTACGGTGCGTTTTCCGTTGCTGCTTACACCAACTATCATCATGATACTGGTTCGTACCGTAGCAACGAAAATTAGCTAGTATTGCTCCAATGTACTGTACGCATGCAAGGGATCGAGGTGGTAGCTACTACGGTACCAAACGTTGGCATACAAAGACGTGCATGCTTGCGGTGCCTTTGCTCGTGTTTGGCTGCAGAACAAGGCCGGACGATGAGTGCCCGATAGTCAGGCTCGTTTGTCAGCTGTCTTAACACTACCAGTACAGTACAGTACAGTACAGTAGGTACCGTAGTAGAGGGAGTTTCGAACTCGCTCGAATGGGCACAAAGCGGAGGATGGACTCCACGCGCATCTCTCCTCGCTACTACTACGAGCCAAGAACCCTGGTGGGGAGTATGATACCAACGATGTCCTGGTTCCTTTATGCCCAGGCAGGGGGTTCTAGCTAGACTACCGTACCGTATCGGAGGGAATGACCGTGAAAGTACAAAGCATTACGGCTGCACCTGAGCATGTTTCTTCATTCCAAGGGCAACCATTCTCTCGAGCCCATTTCAGAATCTCTAAATGATCATTATGGGCGGCTCCTGCACAAGTCAATTCACCCCATGGGCATCCATTCTCTCGAGCCCATTTCAGCAATTCAAAGTGACCACCCAAAGCAGCAAGACTGCATGCATGTAAGCACATCCCATCGGCACCCATTCTCATGAGCCCATTGAATAATTTCCAAATGGCCGTTCTTGGCTGCCTGACTGCATGTACGTTCATCCCATGGACATCCATTCTCTCGAGCCCATTTCAGAATTTCGAAATGTCCTCCTTCCGCCGCTTCTGTGCTGGTAGATTCATCCCAAGGGCACCCATTCTCTCGAGCCCATTTCAGAATGTCTAGATGACCACGGCCAGCAGCAGATGAGCATGTAATTTCATTCCACGGGCATCCATTCTCTTTGACCCATTTGAGAGCTTCCAATTGACCATAGAAAGCCGCAGCCGCAGCCGCACATGTGATTCTTCCATCCCACGCTCGGCTTCCATCCCATGGACATCCATTTTCTCCGGCCCATTTCAGAATTTCCATGTGACCACCTGCAGCAGCAAGAGTGCATGTCCTTGCAATCAACGGGCACCCATTCTCGTGTGCCCATTTGAGAATTTCAAAATGACCACCTTGAGCCGCTTGCAGAGCAAGTAGTGCCATCCCATGGGCATCCTTGCTGACGTGCCCAAATGAGAATGCCAAGATGTCCATATCCAGCGGCAAACTTGCATGTCCTCGCATCCCAAGGGCATCAATTGTTGTGTGCCCATTGGAGAACATTCAAATGACCACCTTTCACTGCCTCTTCACAGGTTCCCATATCCCATGGACAACCAATCTCATGTGCCCATTTGAGAATGTCTAGATGGCCACCCCGGGCAGCCGATGAGCATGTATACTTATTCATTCCACAGCCATTCAGAAAAACCCACTTGAGAACAGCTAAATGACCATTTCGAGCAGCCGACGAGCATTTATACACATTCCATGGAAACCCTTGTTCACGGGCCCATTGCATCACTGATAGATTTCCATGTTTGGCAATAATGCGGCAAACATCACCATTTCGAACGGTGTCTTTGCCGGATTTATCCCAAAACCAGTATGTGGCAAGTTTCCGATTGCGCAGGGCGTTGCCATAGAAGGTATCAGTGCTTGCTGCTGTGATTTTCTCCCGTGCATCTCTGTCTTTGTTGCATCTCTTCACCTTTGGAGGATCCTTGACTGAAGCCGCATATTCCTTGTAAAGCAGGTTGAGTTGTTTGTTGACACTACCAACAAAGGCATAATGACCCAAGCCCACAAAGGGAAGGATCCCTTCAATCCAAACATCCTTTCGATCTAGCTAGCAAGATGCCAGAGGGAGTATCCAGCCCCTGCCTTTTCGATGCAGTGACTGGGACGTGTACTAACCACAATAATATTACTATGGAAAAAGAGTAGATGAATACTGTACTGGCTAGCTAGTCAAGAATCATCTTTCGCGCGGGAGTCAAACCCACATTGATCGATGATCCAATGAATCGAAGCAAGTGTCCAACCTTGCTCAATGCCCCAGCTCAAGAACCCTCCCCTTTGCACGTTTGGTATGTTCGGTTGCTTTATATAGAACAAAGTTGCATCCTTTCATCAGGTGTCGCACAGCAAACCCCCCAAACAAACACAAAACTGAAATTTGACTTACGCCACAGGTTCGATTCGTCGTTCCAGTGGTCCAGGCAAAGTTCGCCTCGGCGAGCTCATCATGGGTACCATGGGATTACCATGACGGCGTCTGGTCTAAACATCCCTCGACACCTGTTCCTTTTGTCTGGTTGCTGCACCGCTGGCAGTGATGCACGGAACAAGTGAAGATAGATGGTTGCCATTTGTTGGGCATTCAACCAGAACAATGAACAGGAGCCATTGTAAACAAGTTTGTGGTGGGCGACACCAGTGTTCTTGTAGCGTAGCAGATCACATCATGGAGCGTCATGCTTCCCGCTGGTCGAAGCACACGGACGACTCTGGAGCAAGAGCGACTATTAGCTACGCTATGACTAAACCTGCGAGGCTGTGACAAATGCAAATATCCTGCCCTGAGTGAAAGGAAGGAGACGACGGCATGTTGCACCGTGTCATGAGCAGTTTATCCCTTGCCGGTACTCCGATGGACAGTCGCAGCTTTTCGGTGTTTCTCAGTGTGAAAGAACCCGGGGGGCACTGCGTGGCTGGAGGGATCCGAAGACGACCGTGGTCGCACCTCTACCGTTAGGCACGGCAAGATTAGTGAACCGCCACTATAGACTACTACAGCGATAGTCAAGCCTATCCATGTACACGTGCACCGGTATAGAACGGCACGGTGTCTCGCAAAATGGCCAATCTTTAGTTGCTCTGGCACCATAGTCTAGTTTCCTCTTTTACTTTTGAATGTTTCTATGTTTAAACATTATGACTGGTCTAGTCTATTCGTCTACTCTATCTATTGAGCAGTTTGGTACCGGGTTTCGGAGTCAATGCATGGGTCTAGGCGCTGAGGGCCATTGCCATATTGTTCCGCATCAGTTGCACTCTTTGGACATGATGCGTCTCAACAGTGGCTTTTGTTGCACCACTAGTACCTTGAAAGCTACGGCTCTTTGGAACAGGACTTTTCTTGTGATCGCCATGGGATGACTTTTTGAAAGAAAAGGTTTTGCGAATAGGCATTCGAAGAGCTTGTTTTTGCGATTTCCCCGCGAGGAGTAGAGGACATTTGGAATCCGCTGGTGGTGGCGGTGTCGTTGCTCCGTTCTTGCAGTCGGAAGATTCGCTTCTGACAGGCATTCGAAGCCCTTTTTCATTTTTTGATGGCTCATCGTCGCAAGCTCTGCGAAGTGGCATGCGGGGCCCTCCTTTCCTACACATAGTAGTAGTTGGTGCCAATACTTCCTTGTTACTGCTGCGCTCTTGCCAACGGCAACCGCCAGAAAAGCTCACGGAGCGTTTCATGGCCGCTCGCCTTGTCGTTTGAGCGTTGCGTGCAGCTTCGTCCGATGAGGTACCAATGTCGAGGCTGCGAGTGGAACTATTGCGGAGGATCGACTTGAGAGGCATGGTGGCGATGTTTTTGTTTTCGAGGTGGACAGGTAGCTTGATTGATGACGGTTCCAAATGAGAAATTGTGAGAAAGCTGAAAACCCCGAGCACCATCAAAGGAGCAGGGGTTCGGGAAAACCTCTCCTTGGCCATAGTTTCAATTTGCGATGCGTAAGTGGAGTCCAGCTAGCCACAGCGAAGAAGAGCTGAAGAGGGTGATGCCAAATGATCTCATCCTTCAAGCCGCAACGCCGCAACAGAATAAGCAAACAATTGGAATTGCCTGATCCCACTGGATTTGGGAGCATGTGGCCAATGGTACTAAAGTCAGATAGTAATATCTCCTTCAACAAGATTCTTCAACCTTTTATGTCAAGATGACCCAGATGGCTTACCAGAGAGCTACCAGTGTTGACCAAGTGCTCCAAATGATTTAACATTCTTTTGTCAGCAGTTTCGGAAGAATGCGATGTTACACTTGGTTTTTACGGGTCTACGACTAGCTACCTAGACTAGAAGAGCCCTCAACGACATCATCAGCTCTTTTCCTTCTTGTTGAGCAATCTTTGGCCCAAGAGAAGATGTCGATTCTAAGAGCCCAAAGAAATAGAAGGTAACTTGCATAGCTGGCTGAGGGCTGAGGCCATCAATTACCAGCCGAGGTCACGCGCTTGATTGATGCCAATTCTCCCTGGTGACACCAGCTACTCGGTTTTGCTGGAAGCAGGTGGACAATAAGCAATAACTGTTGTTGTGGTTTGCGTCTTCGTTGAAACAGGATTGGCTATCCCTTTCAAGAATGCACCAAGCCAAGCAACGCTTTGGCTGCCACGCAAGGGATAGCACTGGATGGCTCTCTAGGACTACTCAGCAGCCCAGCATTGCTTCTTTTTCACTAGCTAGTGGGGTGATCTTCAACATGGCTGTTGGTTCAATTATGACAGACATCACCTACGCCTAGTAGTAGTCCGTCCAGTAGCCAGCCCGAGTCGGAGATGAATGCAGCAAACTTGCTTTTGTTGAGCGGCTCATTTGATTCACTAGATGATGGAGGCAAACAAGCAACCATCCAGTCATACCGGTAGCTAGTACGCGCCAACTCTTCGTTGCGAGGAAATTCCCTTGGGTCGTCACCTCGCCGAAACCAAGCTACATGTAGAGAAGGCGACCTAGCCACACCTAGCCACACCTAGCCACACCTAGCCACATCTAGCATCAAGCGGAAGTGTGCGAGTCCTCTTCGGATCCCCCCATACTATGCCACAAGAAGGCAAACTTAACCTATAAGGCCTCCTCCGTTGCTGAAGCAAAACACCGAGACAGCTATTATCCCGCAAATTTCTATCTTTGGACAAGCAGGGAGGAGAACAAGCCGGGAGGAGAACAAGCCTTGCTTCTTTCTGGGATGGTCTTGGGTGAATGTCCCCACTCTACAACTATTGTTCTCTGGCACTGCGGCGTATCCAGTCCGAGAAGGCTGCATGTCAGCCAGCAACGTACTAGTAAGTGGTGGAGGAATGATTACGTGCACATCAAATGTCTTGTACGTAAGGAATTAGGCCCTGCAGGAGGGCTTGAAACACAGGAATGCCGCTTCTTCCATCTGTCGCCTTTTTATGACCCTTCCCAGCACAGTGGCAAAGCTAGCCCCATTTGCTGCTACCGTAAAGTGTGACAGAATCACCAGCACCACACTAGGCAGTCTACTGTTCGCCACACCTTCCAGTTGTCTCAAAATCATCCTGTGATTCCTTGCTGGCTGATTTCCTGTACAGCCCAGAGGTGGGTCCAATGCTCTCTGGTGCATGTAGCCAAAAAGGACTTTGGTTGCTTCGCAGAGAGCTTCCCAAGGGGTTCTCTCCTCGTCGACCCTGCATGCAGAACCCCCCCCCCCATCGTGTGCTTCACTGGAGAGCGTGCACAAACCTGGCTTTGACGAAACTATTCTTGGAGGCCGCGGGCTTTCCGAGCTAGCCAACATTTTTCGAAAAAGAAACAAGCCAGATGCAGGCTACAGAATGGCTCTGCTCTGTGGGTACGACGACCAACCAGCTGCACACGATCTACAAACCTGCTCTTCTTCCTCGCTCTTCTTCCCCCCCCCCTTCGGCTTTTGGGATCGAAGCCAAGGATTCGAGTTGCTCTTCCGCCGTACGCCGGACCATGGTACCAGATACCGTAACTCGGGGCAAGCCACGTTCCAGTGGGGCCACGTTGTGCTCCAATAGTTGTCACTCGTGGTTGATTTCTGGGGCTTGATGATATAGAGCAGTGTACCGGTACATAGCAGGAAGGAACAACGACGAACAATCTTTTTTCTTCCTCTTTTAAAAATATATTGCTGCCCCACCTCCCACCTCCACCTACAGTACCTGGTACATGTATGATGGGGATGTACCTGGTACGGTACATTCATCCAGACAAGTTCATCGAGATGCTTCATATGCACTTCGCTATCACCATGAAGTATTCCTTCTTCAAGAGGCGGCAGAGACTTTCAAGTGGAACCATGATGAATATGCCCGTCGATTGGCATTCTTCAAGGAAAAACATCCTTTCAGTGGCTGGATGCTACCGTACGACAACGTGGAACGGCGGACGTTCATTTGGTGCATTATCCAGTTCAAGATCCTGACGACGATGATGAAAGCGAGAACGGTGATGGAGGTGGTATAATCGTGTCGCTTGCGGGGATCGAAGCAACCGCATTGGAAATCAACCCAGCGGTAGCGACGGCCAGCTACTACCGAATCAGACGTACATTCCACTGACCATCATCAAAACAGGAACAGCATTTTAAGTTTGGAATGTGTGGAACTGAAGCAAGCGTCATCACCAAAGATCAGCGGTCGTGCAGGCCTCAAGCGCCCACCTGACACAGAAGCTAGTGGAAAGAGCTATGACACTGCCCTTGTCATCACCGATTCTGGAGACATTGAGGTTCCCAAGCGTGGGACCACATACCAGACTGCTTTGGAAATCACTTCGTCTTCCAGCTCTGACAGTGGATCTTCGTTTATTAATTCTATTCCACCACCAGACCAATGCGCGAATGGATTATTAGTACTTTATGGTTGCGCGTGACTACTGTGCTATTGTTGAGCAGGGGTTTCTGTCGCCGTCTCGGTTGGTTTGCTGTGGCTGCTGCCGCACTCTTCATCTTCCTCGCTTATTTCGTCTGGAACAGGCTTGGTCGCAATCAACAAGACAATCAGCGGTTGCTCCACCAGTCCCATGAGTGCTCCCAACATTCCCTTATAAAGGAGCAGCGTGGGCATGTCCCAAATCACTCCGTCGTCGGGTGTCGCGTCGTGTTCTACGGAAAAATACCCTGCCAAAATAAAAATCAAGCCGAGGGTCGGTACCAACAATACCAATCCAACCAGAGCACCCGTGGCGGCGCAATACATAAAATTTCGTACGGGATGCGTCCTAGCTTTATCATCTTTCTTCTTTTCCAAGATGGGCTGGTACGACGCCACGGCCAATTTGGCCAACAGCGTCCCCGGCAGTTCCTCGGCACTTTTCCAGGGCAATCCTGTAATGCGCAGGGGTCCCGCATCACCTAGATCTCCCAAGGCGAGTTGTCCCGAAATCAGCCAGGTAATGACACTCCCAATAATACACGTCAAGACCACGTCTCCCGCCACGGTACTCGGAAAGGCAAACATCATAGTTTCGGCTTCTTTGCCGGCATACAGGGCATAGCTAATGGCCGTGTTCATACCGCCACTAATGGCCGTACATATCAGGGCGCTGACGAGTACGTACGCCAAGAGAGGAATGCGGAGGGGCATGATTTGATTCTGTTGGAGAAAGATAATAGCGTAGATTGCGCCTTCTTTCAAAAGGACAGGATGAGATACTAGTACGGTGGATCTGGATGTGGGGAGAGGGGGTACCGGTAGGTATTGGTACTAAGAACGCTGTTGCTGGCTTGGTGTTAACCTTGCGTTTGTATTGCCTACCGTATTGTGGGCTGCGTGGACTGTCATGGTGTCATGGTCGCCGTTGCAGTTTTAATTTTTGCGGGGCTGAATCTTCAACACAACCGGACCTGTTTTACATGCGTAGCACCTGTGCGGTACCAGGTACCGGTACCGGTACCGGTACAGTACGTGGTTCCTTTTGTCTCAAAAATGAAGATCCGGGTCTGCATGTTGAGGGATAGGGTTTTATACCGTAGGCGCTGGAACCCGGGAACTCGCGCCTTTGTGTTCTGTTCTTTTCACAAGAGCTTTTCGCCTAATAACAGTAGTAGCAAGAGTCGAGTCTGATCCCACTCTTTCCAATAATTATTAGACTACATACCGCAGCACCACCCCTTCCTACCGTATGCCCCTTCTTCTGCTCCTATTAGCTAGTGCTTCCCCAGGCGTCACTCCCTCTTCGAGTCCATTTCTTGTTCATAGCTTCGACCGCACGGAATGCTCACCGGGACTCTACTTTCGGGTCATTTGCCAGTCAAGGACCGACCTTGCTTGGGGCTTGGGGATCCATCCAGCTCGAGAACACATCTTGCGAACGATCCACCTCCGGCCTTCCACAACTCGCCCCCCGAAATCACATGGACTCTTCGAAGTCTCCGTCGGGAGGGGAAATGTACGGAAGAAGAAGACGAGCACAATAGTTCATCGCAAACGGTGGTAACAGTTTGGCACGGGGTGGGGGGCACAGGGTAAAATATTCGCTCTCCCTCGCGTAACTCTAGCTGGCAGTTTCATGCAATAGTATGTACCGGTAGCGGAACGGCACCGTAACGGTACGGTACCACTATTATGGTACTAGTACCAGCATACCGTACTGTAGGGGTACTTAAGTACTGGTATGCATACCGGTAGGTATTATCTTACTCTTGGACTCCCCTTACTGGCTCTCGAGTAATTTGTATTAGTACAGGAATATAAAGATAAGCCGGCAAGCTTGTGTATTATTTTGGCGCGAATCTACTAGTGTTAACTATCGAAATTAAGAGCCGTGGTAAAGCATACTCACCCAACTCGAGATTGAAAACCACCATAATCAAGATCCTCAGAGAACCCCAAAGGCACACAATGACACCCAATACCGAAATACCAACCGGTGATGTTGGATGACCATTATGATGAGGGGACGCAAATAGATGCCAGGAAATGATACAGTGTTCCTGTTCTAGTAAGAGAAGCTTCCGGTGCAAAGAATTTCGACGCCAGAAGGAACTTGGTCAGTTTCGCTATCGTCACCTCCACTTTCCTGTCCATCGATCGTTGCCTCCTCATTGTCTGAAGTCTTCTGCTTTTTCTTTGGGCTTTCTTCTTCCTCAGACTCCTCATTGGCAGTGTCTGTCTTTGCAGCAGCAGTGTTATCTTCGTCCTCCGCTGGTAGCTGAGTCATGATACCCCATTTGCAGGGACGCATCAAGATTTCACAAATCTCGTCATCCAACTGGGCAAGCTTTTCCACATTGAGGCGTGGGGATCCAGCAGCGGCAGGTTTACCGTCTTCGATGCCATCGCTGCCACTGCAGTCATAATCAAAGACAATACCACCAGAAGAACCGGAAGAAGATCCGGGAGAAGAAGATCCGGGAGAAGAAGATTCAAGGAGAGACGAATCAGGGGAAGAAGCTCCATTGTCAATGAGACGCTCAAGTTTCCTCAGATTCACGCCACCCATGTTGACCAAATCACTGCCAGTGCTGGACTCACTTGACAATTCGCTGGACACTTCGGTAGTTTCCTCCACACCTTCTGTGAGCAAGTCAATTTCCGCCAACCAACGATGGTATCGGTTGATGTACTCATCTTCGTTGTATCCCCAAATGGCGCAGAAGTCCGTTGTCTTGTGGGCTTCAGTGAAGGGATCAGGAAGAATCAACTTCAATTTGAAGAGCCTCTCGAAGATGAAGGTATCAGGGAAGTCGTTGCAGTATGGGAGCATCGACCTTGTTCCATCTTCAACGAGGTAGCGAACAGGCCACACACCAGACATGTCATCTTCGAACACCCAAGCAAGAATGGCTGGATAGCCATTCTTGCGACGTTCCTTGTTGATCCGGTGCAGCTTCGAGTTTGCCTCAACCCGCAAGTCCCAACCCTTTGCAGCCATCACAGCCAACTTGGACGCGCAGTATGCAGCTTCATCTTGGTACTGTTGCAAGGTATGTTTCACGAGCTTGTTAGATCCTGGTTCAGGATTCTTCACAAGTCGTGCAATGGGCTCATAGACAAGGCTCTCATCTTCAGTTGGAAATAGGTCACCTGGTTCGACAAGGCCGGGAACGACGTTTTCACTGCTTGACATGGTGATGCTTGGAGGATTGTGTTCGATTGATACTAACAATATTGGGTGCTCTGAATGAACCCACTAACGATTTGTGTCACCCAGTAGAAACATGACAATCAACCGAGTACTACGAAAGTGGGAAGATACTCACAGTGGAGTATCGGCATCCCCCAAATTTCAGCGACGAATGTGCTCTGTTGGTTCCAATGACAGAAAGCTTTGAACGTCAAATTTTTGTTTGGAGTATCCCAATAAAGTTTCGGAAATTCGAGGCTCCTCAATGATCACATCTTCAGCAGGGACGATTTACATTACAGATGCTAGGTATGAATAATACAGTAAGCTGTGATACTAGTCATTATAGGTTCTTAGTTTTCGTTCCAATACGTCTCTGTTTTGTTTTATTTGTTGTTCTCTTTTTGGGGCTCTGTGCAAGAAGCATCCTTCAGCTTCGTTGCGATTGTCTTGACAACGGCATATGAAGTCTTCTCCATCGGTCGTGCAATCAGCATCGCTCTGTTTCCAGTTGGATTGTCATAAAAGGAAACCAGAGTGTCAAGCAGGCTCTGAGTAGTGCGTCCTTTGACTGGATCGTTTCCTTTTGTGTCCAATCTGAAGAGACGCAAGTACAAGAACAGCTTTGCCATCTGTTGATGATTCAGAGTGCTTAGGTACCCATCGAACGTTTCCACCATCTTCGACAGACACCGTCGCTTGGAATTCTTCGATAGCCCACTTCGATAAAGCCGGTTTGTATTGCCTCGTGCAGTGGCCTTTGCCACATCCCCTCTTGCATTAGCACTAGTCTTTCGCAAATTCTTCAAGGAACAAGAAAGCAAATTATGCTTGCTTCGGAGGAATATGGCGCCTGGACAGCTGTAGCCAAGGTGTTTCACGCAGTCTTCGCAATCCCCCACAATGTTACCTTGCTTCCATTGCAAGTGGCAAACAGTGTCAGTCATTTTGACCATGGAATCTGCTATTAAGTCGGGGAAACCACATCCCAGGCTAGACAATTCCTTCGCAAATGGTCTGCTGTCACCATCAAGGGATGCTCGTACCATCCGAATGCGTCTCTCGTCTATGGGAACCCCAATCTTGTGTCGCAAGTTGCACAACCAGCTGGATGCCTTACCGTATTCGTCTTCTCCGAGTTTCACAATGTCGATTCCTTCCTTCAAGAATCCAGTTACCGCAACTGCAAAGACAGAAGGTGTTCTTGGTATTTCGATTGTACATGGGTCGCTTCTTGCATTGGCATCTTCCTCTAGCAGACGTGGTGCTGTGTGCACAAGAAAAGCTGCAAGTGTTGCATTCTTCGAGCAATCAGTCGCGATGCTCTTTATTCCATGGCGATTGAAACTTTCGTTTGGACAGTTGGATGGGTATACACCGACCTCTCCTGTGCAAGCGTAGTTCCAGTTGTACCTTGGATACGTACAGTACTCTTTGTACAAGTGGTCTGCCGCTTCACCTTCTCCTCTCTGTTCTCTCCAGTCCTGCAAGTACAGCTCTGTGATGACACGACGCTGTTCCATTGTTTTCGTTTTCGCAATGTTCGATACATGTTTGTAGGCAGTGCCCTGGGGTAGCGCGAAGACTTTGTCTTTCATCTTTGCAACGTAGCTTCTCTTTGTAGCGAACGCATGGGTAACATGGAAGTAGCAATTGAGTACAGCTTCTTGTTGGATGCAGTCATCGTCACTGTCTGTGCTATTGGTGGCAACCACTTCGTCTTGTATCGCGGAAGCATTATCAACTGGTTGCTGAGTTAAGGGTACGCTGATAGGAGACGGTGGGTATTCCTCGATTTCCTCCACGGAAAACTCTCGATGTGGTATCACTGCAGCCGGTTTGCTGGACAAGTACGTATTATCCTTATCGCATAGGCCTGGGTGCTCTTTGAAGAATACGTGGGCAGACACAAAGGTGTCAGCATCGTCCGATGTGCCCCAATCAATGGTGAAATCAATACCAAAGCACTGGAAACAGAGCTCCCGCATTGCATAAAGAGTCAGGCAGTATGGATGCAATCGTTCGCCACCAGCTCTCAGGTAGACGATAGGCCGAAACGACGAAGTCACTTCATCGCATGACGGCCGTAGTTTAACAGACACACTTCCGACAGTGATTAGACAGCTCTGATCGCGAATCATTCCTCCTGTTCCATCACAGCATAGTTGCCTTGTGCCGCGTCGGCGAAGGGCGAGATGCATTAACTGAAAGAGACCCGTAGCAGAGAACACGAGAAAGGTACCTACGGTATCTCCACAATTTAAGATGAAGAAAAAGTCCTCATGTGGCTTGTTGGTTTGTTTCTTTTTCCAGAAGGCAGCAGCCCTTCATTTGCCGCTGGCTCCGCATTGCCAACGTAGTTGGCCTATACACCTATTACCTTCTCAATCTGCTCGCAGAAATATCGGTACAAGTACGTCCCATTCGCACAACTCATCGGTCCAGACAGGCATTTTTCCCGACTGCCAGAAACGCAAATCCAGAATGATGGACCAGCACAGAGCCACGGCAAGCAATGACGACAATCATGAAATAATCTCACCTTCCACAATAGACAAACAACAAAGCCGACTCTGGTTAGCACCTCTGTGGACTGTGATTGCCAGCATTCTCGGTGTGGCTCCACCCACACGGTCTCTCATCCAATCCACTTTTGGGACCATTCCACTCCTCCAATCCGCTCTGGCGCTTCTCATGCTATCCATGGGTTTGACCATTACTCCTCAAGACCTAACGGCAGCGACACGACAATCCAACATTGTCTTGCTCAATATGGTCGCGTGTTTTGGAATGATGCCCTTGTTGGCCGCCCTGTTGGCCAAAACATTTCAGTTGACTCCGCCACATGCCATTGGAACCATTTTGCTGGGATGCGTCAGCGGAGGACAAGCATCCAATCTGTTTGCGCTCTTGGCCGGAGGGGATGTCGCGCTCTCGGTAGTTTGCACCTTTAGCACCACCTTGGTGGGAGTGCTGGCGACGCCTCTTTGGATTCAATGTCTCTTGAAAACGACAGTCCCCATTCACGCCACGGCCATGTTGCGGTCCATTGCCTCGTTGGTCTTGATTCCGCTGACAAGTGGGTTGCTCCTGGGTTACTTTCTTTCGCCCAAACTCCTGCATCCCATTCGAAGACAATGTCCCAACGTGGGATTGGCAGCCACCATGGTGCTGGTAGCGGGAGGTGCCTCCAATGCATCATCGCTAGCGACAACGATCGGTTATTCCGCCGTGGCCATGTCCTGTCTCCTCCCCGTGCTGGGAGGTGCCGTGACATTGGGAATGGCGCGTCTGTTGCGACTATCGAACGAAGCATCCGTGCGAACCTTGGTCATTGAAGTGTTCTCGAAATCTCCCACGTTGGCTCATGTACTGGCGTTGCGACATTTCGGAGGAGCGGCGGCGGCCATTCCAGCCGTCGCCATGGTCTCGTTGGCACTTTTGGGGGCTCTGGTGGCAGCCGTTTGGCAATCTGTGGATCCGCAATGACGAATGATGATGATGATGATGATGATGACCATTGAGAATTTGCGGAAAAGCAAACCGACAAGATGCACAGCTTGGACTTATTGACGACCGCCGACAAGAGATTCATGATCCTTTGTCAACACCATTGAGCTATGGATTCGATTCATATGCATCTTGAGGCCATCTTGGCACATGCCACCCCCGCGGGCGCAACTTTTGCGCAGCAATCAATCAATGAGGAAAGTGGTTTCGCCAGCGGACGGTGGGATTCGATGCTTGTGAAATGATCCAGCTATGCAAGGTCACCCTCTTTTGTAAGGTATCTTCGCGGATCATTTCCCTACTTCCTAAATCTCCTCTCTCACCGACTACAAAGCAAACAATGCGGAAGAAAAAGAAACGACACAGCCAATCAGAACAGACGACAAGTCAGCGATGCATCAAATGTGAGGCACTTCTTTCTCTCTCCCTCTCTCTCTCTCTCGGCTACTGGTGTGGTGGCATCTGGTTCTAACGAAAGAACGACTACCAAAGCAAAGATGGCCGACGAGGACAATTTAGCCAGGGCTTGGCATTGGTGGCACGAGCAAATTTGGGGTGTGACGGTCCCCAGCACAAGCTTCCCACAATTTACGATTCGTCACTGTTGGGAATTCGAGCGAGTGGTTCCCTTCAGCATTGAAGTGGACCCAGTGTGAGTGTTGCAAATTGATGCAATCAATCCAATAAGGAATCATGAAGATGTTTCCAATAATAGTGAAGAACAATGAAAACAGACAGTCAAACGTGCGGAAAACCCTTCAGAGGCTTGGTCAAAACCGGTCAGAGGCTTGGTCCTCAAAAAGGAGGTCGGGGTGCCATCTTTGGGCACAGTTCCTCCGACTCCTCGCGAAAGGGGGCTTAGCAAGCTAGTAGCAACCGCTCCCGCACTGCGAGCTGCTGAAAGTCCGAGGTAAACGGTTTCCATTTCGCACCCTGGCTACAGGTGCTGCCCCCTTCACAGCAGTCCTTGTGAACAGCACATTAAATGTAGGAAGCGATCACGAGAGGAAAGTAACCCGTGAACTTGGCATGAGACTTGTTCAAAGTAGTTCAATTTATAGGATTGGAAGTCGTCGTTTCCAAGGAAGCCGTCCGTCAGGTTGTGCAATGTGTCTCTGTGAAACCAGTTACCAAGCGGAGGAGGCGACAATGATGCCATTTTCTCGAACAGGTCGAACCGGTATTGTGTGCTATCAAACCATGCCACAGGACCCCTTGAAGCTGGCTAAGCGTCGACGGGAAACTAAGTTGTTTTCATGTGGGCACATCAGATATGTATGAAGCGCCCAACTATCAATACGCACATGCATTACGATCGTTTTTGCCTCCCCACGTCCCCCATTATAACTGAGACAATTCCGAAAAGAATGATGTATCAGCTCCAGATGCCCCCAGGGGATTTCCTTTTGCCAAACCAGGCATCTGCATGCGACTTCGCTTGTTATGCCGACGCTGCATTTTCTGTACTTCCTCTTCTCCCTTTTCCTTGATATTGGACAACCGAAGCATTGCCAGTTTCATCTTTTCTGATTTTGGTAGAGCATCCCATTCCTGGTTTACTTCTTTGAATTCTTCTCCACAAGCATTCAGGAAAGCAAAGAAGTCAATCGGATCCACATAGCCAGTCCCAGCCATGTCCATGGCATCCCAAAGCCTGTTGAAGTCTTGCTCGCTCAGAAAGTCCAAGTGCAAATCATTCATCCATTTTGCCAAATCCTCCTTGCTAATGAGGCCATCTTGGCCACCAATGTGCTGGAAGGCTTCTGAGAGTTTTTGAGCTGATATTTCTCTGGCACTCTCACCAATGTCAATATTCCGAGCTAGTTGTTGGATGAATCTCTTTTTCATGCGCCTTTCCTGTTGCTTAAGTTGGCGAATGTGATATACCATTCCAACTGCCACCACCAGCAAGACTGGGGTAAGTGCAATGGCAACAATTGCAGCAACAGGCAAGCCCCCCTGATCAAGCTCTGGAAACTGAACATATCCACATTCCTTTCCTGTACCCCCATGCAAGGTGTAGAGATGGCTGATACTCCCTTGTCCATTGGGGCAGTACCCATAAGGGTCTTCTGGAAAACATGCCATGAGAGCTTGCATCCAAAAGTTTAGAGTCCGGACAAGAGAATCTAACGTAGCTGCACTTGTAAGGCTTTGTCAGGGGGCGTATGTAGTGGTGCAATAGGTCGTAGAAAGTCACATCTTCTGGTCTCAAAGTGTGCGCTCCCTTGCTTTTTGGATCTGTGCTAGTCCATCTCTCTGTCTCGCAACATTGTATGATTGTTGCCGCAAGCCTCTTCAGCTGAGACAAGGAAATGGCTCGATTTTCGGCCAGCGGTATAGGAAAAGGGCAAAACTCCTTGTACATCAAATCAATGCTCTGCCGACCCTCAGGAATAGCCATACAATGCACAACAGAACCCTCCTGAATATCACAATCAGCGATTTGATCCTCTACCGTTAGTTCCCGTCCGCGAAACATGAGGAACTGGGTTTCCACGGGTATTTTGGTCTTTCGCGCGATGGTCTGCTTCAATTCAAAGAGTGTGATCGTGCTTGTGGTCCGATACCATGGCATGGTTTCGCCAGACAATGTGCGGACGACAAAGGCATAGGGTGAATCCATGACCTTCAGTAGTGGTTGGAATGTCCTCTCGCAGACATTGGGCATTACTTCGCGTAGACGGACAAAGCCATGCAGCTCTGCGTCCCCATGGGCTAACCTTTGAATCTTCATGGGCAAACCAGTCTTGCGTTCAATGAGTCGTTTGATGCCATCCACAGTATCATATGGAGCCAGCGCAACTTCGAGGGATACGTATTCGTTCGAATCTATCTTTCCAGTCTCACCTTCTGTCGGATTTTCGACATTGCACTTGAAAGAATCAACCTTGTTGTGTCTGGACAACAACTTCAATGGGATCACAATGATGCAGTGGATCAGTAGGACTGAGATTTCGGAAACTCGGTATCGATAGGGGAAGACCCCCATGAATGGCTCGGGTTCTGTTGTTGCACCAGGGCTAATCCCCTGCAATACGTGCAATGAGCCGATATCTTGGTTCAGAGTATTGAATAATTGTTCTGTGGAGATGCCTTCGCTGTTCCAACCGTCCGGGAGGTGCAAGACCCGCCAACCATTGATCACAAACAACAAGTGACCCTTTTGGAACGTGGACCCAGAGAACGAGGGAATCCGCTGGACCCCCCGCAGCAAGTCGCCCACTGTCATGCACGCACGCACTGGGATTGCGGCCGTCATGCGCTGTCCGTCCTTTCGCAGAAAGTGCACTTGTAGCAGCCGGAACTGGGCATCTTTCGGAAGTTTTTCATCCCAAAAGGTTTTCCAGTATTCTTCCCTTGCATCTGAGGCACAATATCTCAGATATCTCTCTGCTGTCCCACACGCAGTGGCCGTCACGGAGGAATAGTCTTGAAGTAGAATGCCTACTGTCGCATTGCTGTTTTTCGGTTCCGTGCCAGAGTTATTTTCGCTTGCTTCTTCTTCTTTAGGGCGCCGCCTTCGCGCATTCCACCAATCCATGCCCAACTTCTTTTTTGGAAACTTCATGGCAACGTAAAGCAGTGATGATCGAAACTGGATTTTAATTTTAATGTAAGCTGGGTGCCTCTATGCTTGTTTGCTAACTCAGATTATGCATGCTCGTACCGGTGCAGCACCACAGTACCTCACAAAGTTAGGAATTTCAGTCAGTCAAGCCATGTGTCGAGTGAATAACCAGCCAGAAGACCGCCATGCACAACCCACACAGTCCCCCCCTCCCCGAAGTTACCTTTCGAGCATTGCGTACAGCATGCATGTTGGCCGTCTATGATGTAGTACTGTACCGTACCGGTATGCAGAGCTGTATGAAGTAAGTAGACTAGTATTGCAGACGTGTTTTTAAACAATAAAAATAATGGGACAAGTAACAGTGATAAAAATAAGATATTTACGGTTCTCTGCCTGGAGCAGCTTCGCTTCCTGCACCCGGGAACTGTAGCTAACAGTGTGCATATCAGGCAGGGTAGGGGCACGGTAGGGGCATGGCAGGGGCACGCAGAGCCAGAGTATTTGGAGCTCTCAGCCAAGACAGAAGAACGTCGGAGGCAGGCAGGCAGGCAGTCAAACAAGACAAAAACAAATACTCCAGTACCCTGCATTTGTTGAAGGCTTGTTTGCGACAAAGGAAGCCACTCCAGATACGGCGTGCGTCTAACTTGAGAACTTGTACTCTTTATTTAAAAAGATGTCATTCATGCCCAAGCAAAGCCCAATGAACACATACCCACATGTAGACGGCCTAGCTGGTAGGAATTATAATCAATAATTCGAAAGATTGAAAGATACGACGTTGTACATGATAAAGCTTCACTCGCATACCTGCCTGCCATAGCTTTGTCAGTTCCCAGGTGAGGACCTTCACTGGCTGAAGGCTGAAGAACCAGCTCTAGCTAGGACGAGGTGTGGGTGGGTCTACTAGCTAGCTAGACTACCGTAGCTCTAGCTAACTATTGTAGTAGATTGTGCGAACTCCATTATGGTACCGGTCCTCCACTCGCAGACACGGTTTCCAAAGTTACCATGTTCCCGTAATAGTACGGTTCGGGCACAACTCACTGGGATCAAAGCCGCGACCAAGATAGATGACTATTGGCGATGCACCTTCGAGATCGTGGACATTTACTTACTGCGATTGAAGTCACAAGAGAAAGACTTTCACACTTTCATCCGTCAGTGTCTGTTCCCAAAGGCAACAGGGGCTTAAAGCAGTCTTAGACACACTTGTAATCTTGGATAACCTCCTAAATGAAAAGACAAGAAGAGGTACTCTAATTTGTCCAGTGTAGATGTCTTCAAGAAGATATTAAATCTATTGGTTCATTACGACAATGAAGAGATCAAGGATGTTAAATGAATAGAGTTTCTGTTGACTTTTCGGTGACTCCCGTACTAGATGCCCCTTAAATCCGACCACCTTCAACACCAGACTGAACGGTACTGGCGGATGGCGGTGTCAACGCAAAAATTGGAGAGGAACGCCAAGGTGGACAACAGCCAGTGCACTACCACCGGTATCATTGTTGTTGGAGTTTGGGTGTCCTTTACAGTATCATCTTCTATCCAGCTCGTCACCAGCTAGCTAGCACCATGCCTCTCTCTCGAGCCCGAACGACCAACTCGGTTCCATCGAGGAGGAATCTGATGAGAGATGCGAGCTCTCGACGCAAGAATTTCGTGGCGGCTGCCAAGCAGGACAAGTTAAAGGAGGAGGAACAGCAGCAGCAGCAGCAGCAGCAGCAATCATCGTCATCACCTCCCATTCCCATGTCGGGCATTCCCCAAAACGGTGGTCGCACCGGTGCCATGGCCAACCAACGGTCTCAACGCTCCCGACGCTTTCGTGTGGGTTCGGCCGCCGCCGCGTTGAAATCGAATCTGCACAAAATCGTGTCGTCCAAAGACCGTGGAGTGCCCGTGGGCGACAGCAGCGATCATCGACGTCGCAGTGAAGCTCTAACGCGACGCAGTGGTGGTGGTGGATCGACCCGACGGTGCATGACGACTGACGCGAGTTTTCGACGCTCGACAGGAAATTCCGATTTGCCACTTTCCGAAATTGCCGAGATTGCCAAGGAGGAGTTGTTTAGTATGGCTGAAATTGACGTGTCGTGGTTTGAAAATAAGGATGGAGAGGCTACACCGGTCGAAGACGCTATGGACGGCAGTGCTCCAAGAGCAGCAGAACAGACTCCAGGAGCCAAAGAAATTCCCAAGAGTCCCTGCGTGTTGCTCGCCCCACCGCCCAAAGACACGTCCAAAGAAGACGCACGTAAAAAACGCATCTCCGCTGAAAAGGATGTGATGAGACGGGGCAGCGGCAATCACAAGAGCCCGAAGCAACACTCCCGGATTGCCCGTTCCTTGAGGGCCCCGTCCTCCCGCAAACTACTCGGGGCCAAGCAACCCAGTATTCGATTGCGCAATAGTTCTGGCACAATGGAACACAACAATGGCAGACCTACTCGAAGCAAATCAATGGACATGACGTCCGCCATGAATAATGACAGTGCTAGCCCTCGTAGGTCAAACTCCTCCTCCAAAAGTAAAGAACCGGAACCGGCGCAAAGTAATATTGATCTCTTGTCCATGTCCATTGACGACATTGGAGTGGACTACAGCAATCATCACGCACCGCAACCACCCAACAACAAGACACAACAGACACCCGTCACACCAAGAACGCTTCGGCGTAAACGTAATCCGCCCAAAAAGGTACAGGATGCACTTTCCATGTCCATTGATGA